TATATATATATATAAAGTCACTTATCTATTTATCTATATATAAATGAGTAATTTATATTTTTCTGTTTGTTTGTTTGTTATGATGTCTAATCTTGACTCAGGAACCCTTGATCTTGATAGTACCACGAAGATTTTCTTCTCCTGGTTTAAACTTTTTAAATTGAGTGGGAAAAATCCAGGCAAAGCTGGGTTTCCAAGCTAGTTTTTAATTTTAATAAATTTAAGACATGTAAAGGTTTAGTTTTATAAAAATCCTGAAATTAAAAGTGCCGACAATGGATATCAAGATCAAGAGATCGGGATTATGAGATCCCAGCTCTGATTTAATAATTAATTTTTGTTTTTATAGATTTCCTGTCAAAAAGAATGCGTATCCCCGAGGTAAGCTTAATTTTAAAGGAATTGTTCATTTTAGGTGCCTCTCCTTTTAGAGTTACAAGGCTTTTAGAGCCCCTAGCGCCCATCTTCTATTTCAACTTTTAATTGTGGCTTTATCTGTGAGTATCTTCTCTTTGTACTGCAGTATAAAACAAAAACAAACAAAAAGTTTTGCGGATTTCATAATATTTTTTCCTGCATTTTCAAAAATTTACAAAAATAAAAACTTTTAAATACAAATGTTTAAAATTTTGATCATTCATAAACCTTCCCAGGGGTCATGGGAGATCCCACACAAAATTTGGGCCCATCTTCTTTTTAAATTGTGAACATGTTCTTTTTGTTTACATTTTAAAACAAAGAAGAAAAAAATGTTGCGGATTTAAAAAAAATTAAATTCTTGAAAATCCACGAATTTTTTTTAAAAATCCGCAAAAAATTTTTCTTTGTTTTATAATGTAAAAAAAAAATGTTCACAATTTGAATAGAAGATGGGCGCAAAGCGCCCTAAAAGCCTAGTTTCAATAAAATACGCAATAATTTGTTTAATCCTGACCTCAATAAATTTTATTTTAACTTATTTTTGTTTAGAGGATCTGGAGTTTGTTTCCTAAAGCGGGTGGTTGGGCCTTGTAAAGGAAACTATATGGAATGGTTCTATGATGCTCCTTCCAGATCTTGCAAGTATGGTCAATCCATACATTTATTAAAATAACAGATATGACACTAGATTTTGTCTTTTTAAGATTTGGATGAAACTCGTTCACAATAACCCTAAAGCGTATAACGAACAAGCTCTCTCTGTCTTTTAATTCTACCCCAACTGCGTGAAACTCATCTGGGCTTCTGCGTCAGGGTTATTATGAACGAATTCCATCCAAATCTTGAGAAGACAACATCCAGTGTCATATCTGTTATTTTAATTAATCTATGGTTCAATCACTGCAAACTCCAGTTCACTTTAACTACCTGGCAGTTTTTTTAAGCAACTAAAGCAAACTGTACAGTACAAATAGAGACCATATATTTACAATGCAAGAGGGGATAGTAAACCAAATGAATTAGCCCTTTCTGGGGAGATTATAGTGCAATATGAACACTACGGAGTAGAGAATAATTTAGACTGAAATTTAGTTGTAAAACCGTTATTTTGTTGTACTGGTATTGTACTTCAAACGTACTTTACACATTTGTGATCTAAAATATTTTGGTCCCTGAAAAATATTTTTACGTTTTAATGTTAAATCAAAAACGATTCACTTAATACATGTCTTAAAGTCAATTTATCAACTTTATGAAAAAAACTAGTAATGGATGTCCATGTATTATTTTGATGTATGTTCTGTGTATAATTTGTAAGCAGAAATCTCTACTTTTCAGAGTAAAAGAGCTTTGTTGTGTCTTAAAAATTGAAGAAGTTATTAGATACCAAGAAAATTCAAATTTATCAAATAAAATTTTGCAATATCTCCGTCAATTTTGACAATGCAAAAATAGTAGACCACATTTTGAAAGTCTTCAGACCAGGCACTTTCGATATTTTATGTTTCAACTAGAATACTGCTGCCCCATGGATCAAAGACGATATAAAAGTCTGCACTGAATTCCCATGTTTATTGGGACACCCTGTACAATGATACTCTATCCATTGTACGTACTCCTCAGATGAATTGCACTATTGGTTGTGAGAGAATGTTATTGTTTTCTGTACCTCTCTGTACCTGAAAATTTATTATAAATACTGGTATGCATGGATTGCATAGATGCATTGAACAGTATGGTATGAATTGCATATACTTTTAGATGTAGTGAACAATATGATACATTATAATATGTACCATGACATATCTTGAGCAGTATAGTTTATGCATGGTACAAAATAAATATTTTTTTCTAAATAAGATATGCATTTTATAGGATACAAGATGATATGAAATTCTTGTCTGAAATTATTCTAATTTTTTTTTTGCAGACAATTTGCGTATGGCGGCTGTCTGGGCAATGGAAACAGATTTGCAACCAAGGATAGAAGATGGGATATTGCTTGATTCTTAATTTTAATATTGCATTTTGGTTTTATGTTTACACAGTACAATGCACACTGTAATAGATTCAAAGATTGATTGATTAAATAGTTAATAAAGTGCCAAATCAATTTTTTGCATGAATAAATAATTCATTGGTTATTTGTTTTAGTAATTGATTCATTGATTGATTGATAAATTGTTCATATCTATTAATTAATCAGGAGGACTGTCAGGATGTTTGCTCCCCAGACAACAAGATCCCTGTTTGTAACAAACCAAAGGTAAAAAAGAATGGAATCCATAAAACTGTGGAATAGAAAGACGATAATTAAGAAATCTTATGCGTATTGATGATGTTACCAAGGGAGGGTGGAGTAAAGTGCACAGTTTTAATTTTTCATGCTTATTTGATTATTTAAAATTAAAACTTGAATCTTATTTCAAAGTTCTGTCTCACATTTAAAGTCTATTCTGTATGACAAAATGTATTCTAATATGCCAGAAAGCTGTTGATTAAACAGATACATTTGCTAAACTTCCATGTTAGAGCCAAACAAATTTTTTAGTGTATCTTGTTTTTAGAATATATATAGAATAAACAAACATCAGTTACAATTTTTGCAACCTTTAAAACTGTTTTAATGTTTTTATTAAAAAAAAAATAATAGATAAATACATTTAGGCAGAAGGGGCTTGTACGGGTGATTTCAAACGTTGGTTTTTTAATTCCAAAAGGTAATTTATTAAAAAATTTAAAATCCAAAAATTTACACATGTTTTTAAGTGGGGTTTGTGAGGAGTTCTCATACTCTGGATGCCTAGGAAATAATAACAGGTGAGCAAATATTTTATCTTTATTTTTAAAAACTTTTTTACTCTTTTAAACTTTGTCTGCATCTGATCAAAAATTTTATAGATTTTCTAATTATAAAGCAGTAAAATAAGTGTATATTTAAATGAAAGTGTATATGAGCTGGAGTGTACAGTGTACAGATCTTTGAATTTCCTGGCAGTTTTTCAGCAATAAGAATAAGGACATCTTTCTTGGTCAAAGGTTTAAAGGGTATCATTGTGCATCGGACATGCCAATCTACAAATAAAAAGTCATTTAAAATAACGCATACATTACACAGTCCCTATTTTAATCAAAAATATTGTCATATTTTTTCTCCAGATTTATGAGCAAAGATTTATGTGAAAATGCCTGCAAACACTCAGCAAAAGAAATGTAAGTATTATCTGTTTTGAAGAAAAGTTTTTTTTGTACAGCAAAATATTGAGAAAAAAAATATATTTCTAAACAAAAAAAAACGCAGTTGGAGATGAATTTGAAATTTATAAAACAAAATCATAAAGAATTTACCAATGGTTTTATTTTTTATTTTTTTTACTATTTCTTAGGTCAGAGTATTAATTGTACACAATGCAATAAAAATCCCCAATTAAGAGCACAAAAGCAAACATTAATATTTTTTTACAATTCATTATGGGATTTTTTTTTTAATAATTTATTGTGCTATTTTCAAAAGAACACAAATAGTTTACTTTTGTTGAGTTTCATTAAAAAAAACTGTTTTTTTAAAAAAGAGCAATAAAGTGCAGAAAAGGTCCAAATTTTCTAATTCCAGAATTTGATGGGTAAAAATCTCATTAAACTAGAAAGACGGAGGAGGTGTGTGGACTAATGCTGGAAGATGGAAACTGTACCAACCTGGAGAATAATAATATAGTTCCTAAATGGGGTTATAATCCTCTACTTCGTAGGTTAATAACATTAATAATAATATTTTGGAAAACCCAGTATTAGTGGAACTTGATAATCATTAGCGTATATGACATGTAAGCTACTTCAAATATAATACTCATATATGAATGTTTTGGGGATACAAGCAGATTTTAAAGTCATTTAGCTTAAAGGACGCTTCAACCTTGCCTTCTATTTCATTTGTGAAAATTTTCTCTTTGTAAAACAATACATTGAAAACAAAACAAAAATTTCAAAGATTTAAAAGAATAATTTTGTGGATGAGGAAAATTTAATGATAATTGAAATTTTGATCACCCATAAACCTTGTATGGGGTCATGTGACTGTGAGGTCCCGTACTAAATTTGGGCCCAGAGTATTGCTAGGCTTTCTCAATTCAGTTCTGAAAGGTTCTGACACTACTCCGCATAGCACTGGTGAGAATGCATACATTCTCATCTGACTGCAGGTGCAACGATGAGTAAGTATATTTAAAAGTGAATTTACAAATTTCAGGTGTGTTCCCTTTTACCTTAGTGGGTGTGGAGAACCAAATATCAATAATTTCAGAACTCTTCAAGGCATACAAGCAATTCTTAAATGTTTTGTAAGACCTATTTTTAAATAACTGAAATATTTAGATATCACTAAGTAATATCTTTGGTTTAATTATTATTTCTGAAATACAGTTTGAAGTTGAAGTTAAAAATACTTGTCTGGTTAGATTGTGAAGAAATGTGCCCAACCACATTCTCTCCAGTTATATCTCTTCCTCAGGTTTGTTGTTTGTTTGTAATTTCCCAAAGGATTTTTTCCAAGTGGCAACTTCTTAATGGTATTTTCCAAGTGGCAATATCCCATGCGGAAACTTCCCAAGTCTGTCCTAGCCGTAGAGCTTGGCCCTCAGCCTGTTCTAGCCTCGGGCTCAGCCCCCTTGCCCATCCTACCCACAGTGCTCGGCCCTCATTGCAGCCTGCAGGGCCTCAGAGGGCCTAACTTAACCTTTGGGAAGTTGCTGCTTGAGAAATTGCCGCTTGGGAAAATGCCTGTGGGAAAGTACCTTACACTATTCTAAGCGTTTTATGTCACTTTAAATGTCTCAAATGTCTTATACTTTGAAGCCATATTGAACATTTTAAAAGTTATTCACTTTTTCAGGGTCAGGAATATTTGTTTGAACGTGGCAGACCTGATGCTGTTATACCAGTCTCTATCAAGGTAAAAATTTTCACTTCATATGCAGTGGAGAAGAGGCTAATGGGGATTATTATTCAATAGAGCTTGGAAAATGCAGCTAGACCTTTCTTTTTGATACTAGTAATGACAAATAAAAGTTTTTAAACTGAGGTCCCAATTAACTTGACATAAAAAACACTCTTAACATTTCAATTGGAGGTTTTGATTAAATGTCTTAATGCTTAGGCCAACCCTCCAGCAGCAGTTAAATGGAGCTTAAACTCAGCAGAAATTGGAGGTATCGGAGGAACAGCCGGATTTGGAGCTAAATCCTCCAATTTTATGATTCTTCCGGATTTCTCACTTCAAATAAATTCTGTAAGGAAAGGGGCACTTAATGAATCATTTATTTCTGGCAAAATGCACTTTTGTTTTAACTAATAATATTTTTGGTTTTTATAGCAGTATATTTCTGAAATAAGTGATACAATGTGTAGGTGAATAAGTAAATGCGTAAAAAGTGATTGATGCTTAGTTGAGTGTATTGTTCATTTAAAAAATAAGTTCAGGGGGGGGGGTAATAAAATAAAAAAGATTATTGAGTAATGCAATGATATTTTAAGAGAAGTATATGGTGTATTAAATGTTGTGATTCTTGGGTGATACATTATTAATGATGTTTAAATTGAGTGATTTATTTAATGCATCAGAAATAAATAAATTGAGTGAGTGCCACCTGTAGAGACTATGACGCTGGCATTTACACAGTAACAGCAGACAATGGGGTAAGCTTTTCAGGAACTGTAACTTGTGTTCCTTATTTTAAAAGATCCTTCATGAAAAGATGGCAGTGCCAGATTAACAATGGTTCCTTTAAAACCTTAATCGGATCAATAATATGGAAGATATTGTTGTTTTTAAAAATTAAAACTAATTTTAATCAGATATTTTCTAGGATGTTTTCCTGTTAAAAAATGGCAAGTTACTTTTGTAGAAAAATCACAATCAAAAATAATCAATAAAATTATAAACATTAATATCTAATTCATACTGTAACAGCCGAAGCTTTTAAAGGTACCTGAAGGTAAATTGGGCATTGCCATCTTTGAATGTAGGTTCACCTCAAATTATGCTTAATTATTTCAATTTTAAATTTTTAATGGTGAAGACCTTGCCAATTTATACCTGGCTTGAATTTTCAGAATTATTTTAATCATGATCACCCCCTGACAGAAAAGCTTTTTTACAAAATCAAAGAAGAATTGAAAGAAAATTTGTAAACCATCAAAATGATTGCAGAATTAGAGGGACTGTAAGTGTAATTTTTTACAAAAATCAAAGAAGAATTGAAAGAAAATTTGACCCTCCATGAAAAGATGACGAAGGCTGATTTGTAACAGAACCATTATAAGTTTTGTCTGATCAAGTTTGAATTGGAAATCATTGTTTATGATTTTGAAAACTGATTATTTAAAATTGGGGTTTCTCTACAAAAATAACTCATAGGAAATATCAAAATTGTCAACAACATTATATTATTCATTAGATAAAGGTTTTAATGCTGCCGTTGTGGATCTGGGAATTGCAATTTTTGCATAGAGGGTCATTTGAAATTAATCTTACAGTCCCTTTAAGAAAAATAACCTTGTAACAGTAGCTGTAAACCTGACATATTTCAAACTTAGACTGTTAGATCAGGATCAGCCTGAAATAGTTTGGAATGATTTGTTCTGAGTCCGAATTTAATGAATTTGAGTCGCATCTCAAATACACCAGGTTTCGGTTTCAATTGAGCTCCTGATTAAATCTTGAAAAATTAAATACAATTTTAAGTGAAACCAACCAAATTTTGAGCCGCGTCTCAAATTTAAGCCGAGGCTCTAAATCTTTAAATTGGGACCCTGAATAATCTTTCTTTTCTGTAAGAAAATGATTCAGTTTGTATTTTATATTTATTTAATTTATATTTTGAAGTTTTTTTTCAGATTACAATTCTTATTTTGTTTATTTAGACCTTTAAAATGGAAAACAAACAATCAAATTTTGACATTAAAATGTGACTTTATTCAAGTTGCATTTCTTATATTTACAAAACAAAAACTGTTGATTTCATTTTTGTTCTCAACAAAAATCAACGCTACATAAACAATGTTTTCGCTGCCAAATATTTTTATTTTAAAATTAAGAGTGTAGGTAGAGAACCCATTTAGAAAGAAAGAAAGAAATCGCTCATCCCCTAGCCTGTCTTGCCACAGCTCATGGCCCCCACTTGTTTTGAAATTAGGCATTTGATCTATTCCCATTTTACTATATATAATATGTACAATTGCTGCGCGCACGCACATATGTATGCCTGGACCCTAAGTATAGCTTCAGTAAGGCTTAAACCAACCATGGACGCTGATGTAAACTTACTTTGATTTCTTTCTTAATAGATGACATTCGTGTAAATAATTATATGAAATCATTATAAAAATTGTTCTTATCAATGTTATATTGTTGCTATAATACTTCAATCTATTTCAGTTAAACATCCAAACTCTCTTCTACCAAGTAACACCAAATGAATAAAGAATTAAAGAAAACACAGTTTATATAGTGAGAGTAGTTTGAAACTGGTCATTCCAAGGGAAATCAATACACCACTGCAGACTGCGGCACCTCCAAACCAAAATGTTCATTTGGGAAGTTGACGTTTGGGAAATTACACAATTGGGAAGTTGCCACTTGGGAAATTGACACTTGTAATGTTGTTTTTGGGAAAATGCCTTTGGAAAAGTGCTCTTAACTGTATCAAAGGGAGCTGATAAATTTCGCAATTTTTCCAGATTGGTTCACCAACATCAGAAACTGTCAGGGTGGTAGTCTTCCCGGTTTTCCCAACTCTTAGGAAAAATAGAATTTTCTCAAAATTTACAATATTCTGTAAAACATAAAGATATTAAAATACAAATAAATAGTAAAAAATAATTTTGATATGATTTGTTTTGATTTAAAAAATTACTATTTGAATATTAGCTTAGATATTGATAAAACAATCTATGTACCCGGGTCGGATGTTTCTTTTGTCTGCAAAATTAGAGGCAAGGATAATTTTCGAAAATAAAGAAGATGAAAAAAAATATAAAACCATTTATTTTTCACTCATTGATATTTAGTGTGATGTTATCCAAACAACAGAATTAACCTTTTTAATCAAATTTTAACACTTCTCTGACCTCTGTAGATAAACGCGTTTTCAAATTGTATTTTCTGTTTGCCACAAAAAAACAGGGTACCCCACAAAGGATGAGCTTTGAGAGAGAAATTAATTTTGTCTCTTCCTGTTAGGGGTTCTCTGTTGCTGTAATTAACCAATGTTTATCTTTGCACTTTTTGAATTTACAAGATTTAAAACTGAATGCAATTTTAGCAAAGAACTACTATAGATTTTAGGAAATTTAAGCATAATTTCAAGCCACCCTTCATGCAACGATGGCAATGATCGAATTACATTGATACCCTTGAAACCTTAATCTGATCAAAAATGTGGAAGATAGCATTGTTTTTCTTACTCCAAAATTATTTAATTATGATAATTTCTCCCTTGCATCTCATAAGCAAGAAATGGATAAATATTTTTTTGCAGTGAAACCGCCAATGAAAATAAACAGGTTGAATAATCTAAATCATGAATATCTAATTCATACTTGATAAGGCATAGCTTTATAGCGTATTGTTGAAAATTGGAAATTGCCATCTTTGCATTGGGGGTACTTGAAATTATGCTAACAGTTCCTTTAAATGATACAAAAAATAGGCTATCCCCTCCCTTCTGCTGTGTGGAGTAAAAAGGAGCACAGGCAACCAGATTCTATTCTACAAAATGATAATGATCATATTATTGTAAGTATAACAAAAACAACTTTAACTATCTATAACGCTATTCTTTTAGTTCACAGTTTTATAAAGTTTTTTGGACAGAAATTTTATCTTTATCTCGAAGGTTTTTGCCTTTAAAAAAAATATAACGAGCTTTGGCGAGGGACAAAATATAATCTAAAAAGTTGAAAACCTTCGAGATATAATGAAAATTTAAGAACAAAAACTATACAGCACGTTGTGGCTAAAAGTGTTTTAGGTAAGTTTATGAAACGTTTGTGTACTTGTCTTATTTCAATGGCTATTTATAGATAAAATAAGCTTTGTAGCACGTTTATTATGAAAACCACGATGAAGTTATTAAGAATGATATATTACACAATAGTTTTATAAACTTTTTAATATGGCTAGCCATGTTCAAACTTTATTAAGATTTATGAATGGGAAAGCCTTTTGTTTTTAACTAAGAACCTTCACCAGCAAAGGAATCAAGTCTTTGCCACAATTTCTGAATTTATAATCCCTATATCTTTGCAACCCAATGTCGTTGACCATAGATATTTTAAACTATGGATTCTGCTATATCAAATAATCCAAGTTTAAAATATCAAAACTTTAAATCATCAGGTTGCAAAGAAGAAGGGGATTATAAGTTTGTGGCAAAGACTCAATTGCTTTGTATAGTTTGTCAACGAGAGATGTTACTTTAATCCAATGAAATTCAACGTTAAGAAATATCATTTTACACATAAGAAAATTATTTGTTCACATTTTCATGCAATTTAAACGATAAAAACTAGCAAAACTATGGTCATTAGATTAAAAAAAATATATTTTTCTTAATGTTTTTCACTTTAAATTATGTTATAAATGTTCAAGAACAGGTTCTTTTATAATTTTATTAAAATATTACAGATTGAAACTTTTTACGATTCCACCTTGGAAATGGTTAGTAAGCTGACAATAAGGTAAAAAATTGCATTTGTTTTAAAAAAATTATGTAAAGGAATTGAGTCTCTGCCACAAACTCAAATTTGCTAATCTCTGTATCTTTTCAACCTGAGGATGGAAACATTTGGTGTGTCAAGCTTAGAATATTTTTAAATAGATTTTAGTACAATAGAATTTGTACACTCTCAGTACAGCTGTATTCTTACGCCAAAAGTGTCATCTAAATTTTTGCGTGCAACAATTTATTAATAAAAGTGATAATTTTAGAATAAAGTTCTAAATTTACAGTAAAATAAGTGTAATTTCATGTGTTATTTATATTATGTTTTTACAATTTTTTATTTAATCTTGGAAAACACGTCAACTATAATTTGAGAAAATTTTGTTTTCCTTGTTATATTTGACACTTGTGACATCGTGTATAATTAGTCCATTTCTCTGTTGCCACCATTGTACTTGATAATCTATCTGTAATATTTGATCTCACAGAATTCAAAGATTAAAATATCGTAGGTGTACAATTTTGGGCGCATATTTATAGGGATTAGAAAATCAGAGTTTGTGTTCAATCAAATATTGTATAAAGACAACAATTAGGGGTCAATATAATTCCATGCCTGATCCCAATGAAGTTAGAATGGAAAGTGTATTTTGGACAAGGTACTAATGCAAGGAAAGTTATTTAGGTGTAAGCATTTTTTGTACTGCAGTGTACCATCTTTGGGCGGAAAAGTAAACACAAGACGGATGTCACAGTCTGACATGAAATCCATTTTCACAAAAATAACCTATGAAATATTCTGGTCATAGGAAACTATTTTGTGAATTTTCAAAATTATCAAGATTAAATCTTTCTCGGATACTAGCCGAACACTGATGCATCTATTCTTGTTTACAAATTCCGCCCGGAGAGAACTGGTTTCAATATGTACCCAGAGTAAACGCGATCACAATTAACTTTCCTTGCATTAGTACCTTGATTTTGGAACAGAATATACACTTTCTGTGTCATTATGAACTTTTTCAAGATTTTGTGTATGTGTACAATTATTCAGAAATGTGTACTGCATTTGGAGTGTTACAGATCTAAATATCATTAATCTCAATATAAGAAATAACTTATGAAAAATAAACACTTCATTGCAGAAGGGATTTTTTTTCAACAAGTTGACATCATATTTCTATTTGTTTTCAAAAATAACATGTCAATCAATCAACATTTTGGGATGGCATTGGATGGAATTATTTAGACCACTTTAATAAAAGTGTTTTTAAAAATAAAACAAGAATGTGTTGAAATAATCTAAATGATGAAATAACAACGTTTTATGAAGCTATATCTAAATTTTACCGTTGTTGTTGTTGTTTAGAAGTGTTACAGATGCTGATACAGCCACCTATAGCTGTAGTGTGCAGACAGATTTTTCTCCACTTGTCAAGAAGGTAAAAAAAATTTACATATTTTTAATTTTAATTTTAAATATCGTTTTTAATTTAAAGGGACTGTTAACTTATTTGTGTAATTTCATGGTAAACTAAAAAGCCTATTAGCTATTCATTGGTATTAGTATTACTTTTCAAAAATATCTACGACCGAAGAAAAGCCGATTTATCATTTAAAATTCCAGGGCAAAGGTACGATATCTTTGCTTAGACACTATCTTAATGTTTTTCAGTAACAACAGCCCAATAAAATTTAAATTATCAAATTTTAATGACATCATCCGTCTAAATGTTTAAAATAAGTTATAATTTGAAAATAGACATTTTGAAAATAATTTTGAAAAAAAATAAAGATGTTTACATTTAACTATAAAATTCTACAATTAAATTTAATATTTGAGAATTTTGTTAAATCATTGACTATGACAAAAAGTATCAAATAGTGTAAATACCATACTTTTACCCTGAAATTCTGAACAAAAAATCGGCTTTTTCTCCAGCCACCATTGTCTTTGAAAAGTAAGACTAATACCAATGAATAGCTAATAGGCTATAAGTTAACCTAAAATTACCCAAATAAGTGATCAGTCCCTTTAATATGTTTTTCTGTGTAGCTTGAGTTGCATAGCTCCCAAAATGGCTAAGCAGCTCCAACATCTAGCAATTTCTCGCTTTATTTTAAAGGTTAAATTAAATATTCTATCATGGCATACAATGTGTGATAGCTTTCCTTTTAGATAAAAATGAAATTTATAGTATGTCAATATGTCTAATTCATCTTCCGTTAGATTATTATCAATTTATTTTGAGAAGCATTTAATTCTATTAAATTACAATTATATCAAAAGATTAATTTCACTTATTTTCTTAACATTTATTTTTGAATTTAAATCTATTTTTTTAACAAAGTTTTATAAAAAACAGTGAATTTTTTCTCTGACTGTTGTATCTTCTTTTTAGCTTATCATACATCTGTTTTCTGTTCCTCTCTTTTAGATCTACACATTCTAATCCCTTGTAGACAAGGGTAAAAATGCATTTTGACACATATTTCTGCTTTTGTTTCTTCCTAATCTTATGCATATTACTATTTGTGTTCCATGCAGAGGTGTCAAATTTCTCTGACAAGTTATGTTGTGGATTGATGATGCAGCCCTTTCATCCAGCTTTTGTTCATACTTATCATATATATAAAATAAAAGTCACTGCTAAGATAGGTTTGAAAATTCTGTGGATTCATTGTCAGAATTCCGCATTAATAATTAATGGGATACAAAAGGCTAGGCTAGTTGTGGATATTTTTGACAAAAGAATTCTTGATTCTTTATTCCACACAGGGTTCTACTCAGCCGCAAGAAACTGGAGAGAGTTGTAAAAGAACCTGACTGTACTGAAGCTCTCTTGATGCTTACACATAGAACCAGATTCAATTGAAAGAATTAATGTCTTAGCTGTTATTAAGTATCCAATGGGTTCGTATACTTAATAATAGATAACCAGGCATGTTATTAAAGAGTATATTTAGAGCTGTCAGTAGCAAAATTTGGATCCAGCTAGTTAAAAAAAAACCTCCAAGATGAATGCTGGCTTTTAATGTTACTTGTAGTTCCGTTTTTTCTTTTCCATTTGTGTGCAGGGGTGTATACCCCACATATACATCCACTCCTGGCTAAAGTTTCTCAAGTTTGCCATTTCTTTCTCTCACCCTGTATCTCTGAATACGGGGCAGGACAATTAAAAACAATTAAATACTTTTTTTGTACTTAAAAATTGTCAAAAAATAATTTTAAAATTATGGTTTCTTGGCTATTCTATAAATCTCCTTGTATTTAGAGTGTCAGTATCAGTGTACAGTATGGTCCAGGGGAAAGATGTATTGACAGAGTAACATTTTCTAAATACTGCCCCATAGTTGTCAAGTAAGTTTTCATGATTTTAAGGTATTATTTCAATTAAAGGTCAACTTAATAGCTGTGAGAGAAAAATTGCAATCTGTGGGTTAAGTGAAATTTTCAGTTGGGTGACTGACATTCCAAACTTGTCATCCAAGTTTATTGTTTGTCTATAAAGCAAATTTTTTTTAATTTGAATTTTATTGCTTTTACCGTTCGATTAGAAATATAAAAGTTTTTTTCAGGAGTCGTAAATGTCAGAATAGTTATTATGGGAAGTACTGCTGCAGATCCTGTGCTGCAGCTGGTTATTTGTCTACAACACCATAGATGGGTATTCAACCAACACACCATAAAGCCTAGCCGCTGGGTAGATAGCTGCTGCACTGTAAATTTCTGCTGCTGGAAATTTGACTACTACCTTGTAAATCCCAGTAGCAGGGTATTTAAATACAACACCTTAAATCCCAGCAGCTGGTTAATTGCCTGCTGCATTATAACTCCCAGTAGATGGGTATTTGAATACAGCACCACAAATAACTTTTCTAGTGTATTGTAATAGGCCATTTTTTATTCTTTGTAACTTATGTTTGAAATAAATAATTTAATACTTAATCTCGAAGACTGATGTGTAATAATGTGTTAATATTTTTCAATGTGTAAAATTTATATTATTTGCATCTCTGATATTAATTGTTTAGTAATGCTCTTTTTAAATTATGTCAACATTCTCAGTTAAGATGAATATCAAGCAAGATAAGACATTAACATGAGATGAGTAAAAAGTACAAAAATTAATAATGTTTAAGATAAGAGCGAGACTGTTTATGAGTAGTTGGAAGTAAGCATTTCATAGAAATGAAGGTGTTTCTTTTCCTTCCTATGGTGTTTTTCTTTTCATCAGGTAATATCCAGGCTCAAGGATATAATCATCAGCATGACAGCATTAATTTTGCCATTGGTCAAGTGCGTTTCATGATAAAATTGACATCTTTAGCAAAAATCATATGATCATATAATATACTAGCTAAAATACCTGGCATTGCCAGCAGAATTAGAAAAAAATTAAGTTTTGATAAAATTAGTAAAGCATATTTTATAGCATTTTAAAACTGGAAACAGATCACAGTGGTGAAATATATCTTTTCTATTTCTGACTCTACTTACTTTTGTATACAAATATACATCAATCAAGGGGCCCCTCAAACTGGGAAGCTGATGAGCTTCCAACGTTCAACTGCTCTAAGCCGTGGAGGCGGAAGGATAGTTGGTGGAATGGATGCTAATCCTGGAGAGTTTCCCCATCAGACAATGATTCTTCAGGGAGGGGTATCAGGGTCCTTCATGTGTGGAGGCTCTCTTGTATCTGATAAATGGGTTGTGACTGCAGGACACTGCTGTGATCAGTAAGTAAACAATTCTGCTTTTCTCTATCTCAATTTAAAATCATACAAAGATTTGTCTTACCAAATCTTCTCTTTTTGAATATCTTAATTCAATCCATTTCCTATCTCTAGACGATCTGCCAGTGACCTAGCAGTAGCAGTTGGCAGCTACAACCTCAACTCAATTGATGTTGATCAGGAAAATATCGGAGTTAAGACCATCATAAACCATAACAAATATGACCCATGGACAATTGAAAATGACATTTGTCTCCTTCAACTGGAAACTGCTGTTACATTTGGAACCCATGTGGCAACCATTAACCTACCTGAAGACAAGGAGGAGTATAACACAACTCTTTGTACAGTGGTAGGGTGGGGAGCTACAATTGATGGGGGAAATATGGCCAGAGTTCTACAGAAGGTTGATGTCCCAGTCATGCCAGATAAAGAGTGTCGAATGTACTATGGCCAGAATGACATTAAGGATTCTATGATCTGTGCAGGATACAAAAATGGAGGAAAAGATTCCTGCCAGGTCAAAAGTTTTAATATTTCAACAGATTTATATTTCTAATTCAAAGCTCATATTTAAAACAATGGACTGCATTCTATCAAACAAATTCAAATTGGCATTTACAATTGTTATTGATCTTAAGAATATTTGTATTTCACATTCCTTTAAAGCAAATTAACAAAATCAAATTAAAGCGTTATATACTTTTTCAAACTATGTTAACTTTTCTATTATTAAGGGAGATTCAGGAGGACCTTTGATGTGTGGTAAACAATTGTCTGGTATTGTGTCCTGGGGGTATGGATGTGCTTTGCCTAATTCTCCAGGAGTATACACTCAGACCAGCTACTTTATAGACTGGTTAAGTACAAATATGGAAGAGAGTTAATAAAGTTATTATAATAACAAACTCAAGTGAACTATTTATTCTTTTATTAATAACACATCTATTTCTAATCTATTTTATTGTGGAATACATGATTTGTACTTTGTTTCATAAAAATGTACAACAATGACATTTAAAATTTTTTATTTTATGGATTACAGCATTGCAATTATTGTTTAAGTTAATGAAACTAATGTTGTAATTCAGCCTGCATTAACAACAGAACCCGTTAAACCTTTATCTGATCAATAATGTTGAAGATCTTGTCTGAAAAATGTTTTATTCTGTTTGTGAATTGTTGTACAGAAACCACGTTTGAAAATAATCAAATTACAAAGTGAAGATGATACAAGGTGTTTAAAAAAACATGAGAATTCAGTGACGAATTGGATATCATCTTTGTTATGTATTAGCATTGTTATACCTAATTTCAAAAGCCATAATAGCATTATGTCTGCTAGAGTTTATTTTATGAAAAGGGTAAAAGACTGTAAAGATGTGTTTATAATGTCTCCGCAAGATGAACAGTGAAGACGGACAAGTTTACTCTGTTTATTAGAAAAACTATTTTAATTTCTAAGAACAAGTTGGTTGTCATTGCATGGATTGAAAGAGTTCCTGTGTCCGAATTTAATGAATTTAAGCCGCGTCTCAAATCACCCAAAAACCTGTTTAATTGAGGGTTGGCTTAAATCTTGAAAAACTGAATACAATTTTCAGTGGAACCAATCATATTTGGGCCGTGGTTTAAATTTAAGCCGCGGCTCAAATTCTTCAAATTCTACCTCTGGACAACTTTGTGTTTAAGGGATTTATAACTAATGAATTCAGAGCTGAGATTATAAACCCAAAAACCTTTTAAACTTTTGTAGTGTTGTGTTTAAAATCTTGGAAACTATTAGTAATGTCAAAATTGTTTATTTCTACATATAGAATAAGAATAATGTGAAAATAAAAATTTGAATTTTTGAAATCTACCAATCAAAGGAATTAAATGTGTGGTTATCATTGCCGAATAATTATTCTATTCAACCAATCAGAAAGCAAACAGGAGACCTAAACGCCGGTGTAACAAAGGCTCGAGTGTGAGGAACTTTGGGCTTTACTTTTAAAATCTCAGTTTAGAAAAATTAGTCACTTGATTTCCCCATTGGACAGTCATTTTATTGTACTGCCACGATTTGTTTTAAAATAGTGTTTAGACAATCATGATATCTTTCTCATCATCTCCATCAGGCAATCTTTGGTATCTTACTTTCACCTTTAACATTAAAAATATTTCAAAAATTATTATTTCTAAACATTATTATTCATTTTAATTTGAATATAGTTAGAGAAAAGCTTATAGTTGTTTTTTAGACTCATGTTAGGAAATAGAAGATATGATAATTAGAATTTTAAAATATAAAATTATAAAATTAAAACATATGAAATCAAAGTAACTTTAGAATGGGATATCCTTAGTCCCGATCGGTTAATTAATCTGGAGATTAATAACAAGAGGAGAACAAGCATTATTTAATCTTGAGATAAAAAAGAGTGGATCAAGCATTAATCCTGATATCCACCATTCAAAAGTTCCCAGCTCAGGAAACATTTAAACCGAATATAGTTCCAATGGCGAAGCTATTGGGTAAATAATTCTGGACTGTTGATGTTCAACATCAACATGTCAGAGACTAAATTTTTGCAGGGTACATTTTCCCAATTAGTGTATGATATATCATGATTCTAAAATATGGCTTATACCACTCAACTATGAAGAAAAAAACCTGAAAAAAGAAAAGAAACCTTAGAAAAGTAAAGTCCACAAGTTTCCGAACATGGACCGCAGCATGCTGCACAGAAAACTGTACAGCATGCTCGTGTAAAGGAACAGTTGATTTTCCAGGTTCGTAGGCAGGGCGCCAGGCACCAAATATGCTGAAACAAATAATAAACATTAAGACTTTGGTATTTTTCATACAAATGAGATGCGTAACAAAATCACAGGGAACACTCCTGTTTGCCATTAGCTCCTGATCCAATCAGGGTTCAGTCATGTGTTTGTTGTCTATTCTGAACCAATAGAAATTTTATGGCGGTAACATCTATCTTTCTATCTATCTCATCATCCAATTAGAGATAAATCCTTAAATCGGTAAATCAGTAAATGGATATATTTACTTCTATTGAAACTATAGTGACTTGGCGTCAAAAATTATCCAGAATATTGTCCACTCTGAGACTAATGTACATCCGTATTTATATGATATTATTTGTTACAGTTTTGGTTTCTACTCTTGGATTAACTTTAGACGATAGATTTTTGACGGGTACCGGGGTTTCTATCAAGTCGATTTGAAGAAGCTCAACTCAAGGTTTATGTAAAAATGCACAATGGGCTTTAAGAAAGAAAATATTTTCAATTCAATGATTACTAAGACTGTGGCTAACACTATAGTTTCAATAGAAGTAAATATTTCCATTTACTGATAGCGCCGATTAAAGGATTCATAACTCTGATTTGATAATGAGATAGATAGAAAGATAGATGTTACCATCATACTATTTCTATTGGTCCAGAATAGACAACAAACACATGACGGAACCCTCATTGGATCAGGCGCTAATGGCATACATGAATGTTCCCTGTTATTATAAAGATTTATTTACACACAAAGATATAAATACATATATAATGGTGAAAAAAAAATAAAAAATGTTCCCTGTGAATTTGTTACACATCTCATTTGTATGAAAAATACAAAATAATTTTTTTCTAACGTCGACAAGTGTTTTCTCAAAAGGGGTGAAATTTAGGGAAGGGAAATATAAGATGCACTTGGTTCAGAAAACCCAATGTCAGAATATTTAAAAAAACATGCAAAACAAAACTCAGCACCTGTTTTAATTGTACTCACGATAAACTAAAGTAAAATTTTGTGTGCACAAAATAAAAACTAGAATACACCTTGTAGTAAATTGTTAGCAGATGAATTTATGAATTATGAATTTATGAATTATGAATTTATGAATTATGAATTTATGAATTATGAATTTANAAATATTGAGTTATAAAATGTAAAAATTATATTGAAATATAAAAAATATTGAGTTATAAAATGTAAAAATTATATTGAAATATAAAAAATATTGAGTTATAAAATGTAAAAATTATATTGAAATATAAAAAATATTGAGTTATAAAATGTAAAAATTATATTGAAATATAAAAAATATTGAGTTATAAAATGTAAAAATTATATTGAAATATAAAAAATATTGAGTTATAAAATGTAAAAATTATATTGAAATATAAAAAATATTGAGTTATAAAATATAAAAATGATAATGAAATATAAAAAAATATTGAGTTATTAAGTGTAAAAATAATGTTGAAATATAAAAAATATTAAGTTTTAAAATATAAAATGATATTGAAACATAAAAAATATTGAGTTATAAAATGTAAAAATTATATTGAAATTTAAATGTCAAATTCCAAAAATAGAATAAAACCCCTGACAAAGAATCAGGCAATGACAGAGGAGGGGGAATTCTCTACCTCAGTTCAGAACTTGATAGAATATTTATTACATACAATCTGAATCTGGATTTATTATCTTGTCATGGTTTAAAGGGACTGTATGCGTAATTTCGAGTGGCTAGACATTTAAAGAAAATTGAAATTATTGAAAATACGCCTACAATCCCTTTTAAATTTTTAACAAAAATTTGTTTTCCTGTCTATGCAATAAACCATCAAACATTTAAAGCGAGTGTTCCCTAAAATGAAAATATTGTCTAGGATGAAACCGAATCAAATTTTAATTAGATCGCTACTAATGTGACCTCTATCTTAAAGCTTCTATATAAGGATTATACGAGACTGAGATCTGCAAGAAGCCCCATTTTGGGCAACCCCAAAAAATGATAGAAAGAGGAAAGTATAGAAAACACTTAATGTGCTAAAAGCGGAAACGTCTCAAGTTTTAAACTCCTGTTGAAAATCACTTTTCATGTGTTTTTGCAAAAAAAATTTGTAATATAGACTAGTATCATTAACTAAACTAATCTATTCTTTCCACTTTATGTATTTAATTCTTTAGCTGAACCAAATAGAACAAAATCATATAAACTTGAACGGGTTCTCTTTAAAACCCTAGAATGTTTTCCCTCTGCCTTATTTCCAAAAATATGGAATTCGATTGAATTAGAGCTGAAAGAAACTAAATCTGCAAAATCGTTGAAAAGAAAAGTCGCCATGATCTATTTAGATAGTTATGCAAAAAACTGTGTTTCATGTGGATAAACTTAGTCCTTACTATCTTCTTCACCCTGTAGTTCATAAACATGATTTTAATAACATATGTCACCCTCTGCTCCAACCCTTACGCTGAGTATCCTCCCTTTCCCTTATACTCCCTCACCTACTCCTTACGTTTTTCCTGATTTATCATCATTCTTATGTTTAGAATGTACAATGTACATTGTTTTTATTTGCAATTCTCATTCGTTTATAGTGGGAAAACCAATTAAAACAACCTATTATGGGTAGGCGGGTCCAAACTACATAGTAAATTGTGATTTTTTATTTGTATTATCTCGTGCTTTGCAGTTGAATAAAAATATGAATGTCAAAGTGAGACCATATAATGTATTTTGTACTTTTTTATTAATTTCTAACTTTGATCTGTCTAATGATTAATAATAACTGTTCTTTTGGAACAGTAGTGATTATCAGCCATTTTGAATATAATCTTTGTTCTCCGCCATTTTACCTGGTTCCTCTGAAACATTTGAAAGAGCATCTCCAGGCCCAATCAGCTGATCGAATTCCTTCAGGTTCACCGAATACATCATCCCACATGACCTAGAGTGCAAAAATAATTTAATAAACCTTTCTTTGGAAGATCACTTAGTGCACACTTATCACAAGAAGAAGGTGATTCATTTGGTGTACCGTCCCGTCTTGCCTGTACAGTATTTAAATGCACCGGAGTCTACAGTGTTATGCAAGAAATTCACTTTAAAAATTCTGAGCACTGTACACTCTACACTATTCTTCTTTGTATCCTATGGATAAGTTCAGCCTCTGGTGTGAGAAATGTGTTCAAAATCTACCTAATTACGTTTGTACTCAAATGCACTATCTTTATTTACTCTATTCTTGAAATGAGCTGGAATTCACAGTACACTGCAACTTAATGTTTTGTTAAAGGGAGTGTTCGCGAAAAATGAACGGGGGTATAGGCTTACGTTGAAAAATATTCAATGGTGATTGCTACTTATCTTAGTTGGATAAGGAGAAAATTGTTAAAGACGGCTCATACTCAAGAACGTAGCGTCCATACAAATTCAGAAAGTTACAATATTCAACCCGGATCGTAAAACAAATTAATTTCAAACAAATCATTTAGATATTACAACCTATAATCATCGATTATTTTTCAACGCATATATAGTTGATACTTAATAATATTTTTTATTTGTTTTATATATTATGCAATTTAAACGACGATATTTTGTATGCTAGGTGTCTCTGCCACTTGGAATCATGCAGAAACATCGAGAGCTATATAAGAATGCGTCAAAAATTAATCGATGATTATTGTTTGTAATATCTGAATGATCTGTTTGGAAGAAATTTGATTTTTTTACGATCCAAGTTGAATATTGCAACTTGTTGAATTTGTATGGACGCTTTGTTCTTTGGTATGAGTTGTTTTTAACAATTTTCTCCTGATATACGCGACAGATAGAAGTAAGATTAGTAGCAATCACCATTGAATATTTTTCGACGTAAGCCTGCACCTCCTTTCATTTTACAAGAACACTCCCTTTAAAAAGTTAAGAAAATATTTGTTAATTTATTTATCTATGGTTGTCTTCCATGAATTGATTTAAACACCGACAATTTTGTCGTAAACTGTTGCTCTGAAAGTCGCCATTTTTAATCATTTTCAAATTTTCGCGGATTTTTCTGTTTATACAATAATATAAATAATAAATGTCAACATTTTTTTCCACACAAAATTTTGAAATTCAAAAAATTAGATCTGGAAAATACAATAATTAGCAGTAAGCATTGACTGAATGGTTATAGATAATATTTGTTTTCCTTTTTTATTTACAAATTTGAATTCCTAAAGGCATTTTGGTCAATATGTTGGTAAATATAAAAAAGCGAAAATTTTCAAGAAATTGACCAAATTAAAATTTTACAATTATCTAAAAAATTGTATTTTTTTTTAAAGATCTAAATATTTATATTTCCGATAGGTTATGTTATTATATTATTATATTACATTAGGTACAAGTTATTAAATTTTTATGTTTACATGGCACGTGGATTTATGCAGTTATGTCAATATTCCAGAACGCTGTGACTTTCGATCACAATTTGACCCATTAAACACATTTTTTAGTCTTTTTTGTCGGCATATGCATTTTGAAGGAAACCGTAAGGTAAAAGATTGAATGTTTAATTAAAGACCAAATTACGTTTGATTTCAAATAGAAGAAACCGAATGCTGCTCACTCTGGTTCACCCTGGACTAACCAGAGTGAGAAGCATTCGGTTTCATTTATTTGAAATCAAACATGTTTTGGTCTTTAATACATCAATCAAAAAAAGGCTAAAATATTATGTATACTGGTTCAAATTGTAATCGAAAGCCAAAGCTTTCTGATATATTGACAGAACCGTTAAATCCGCGTGGGTTAGTCCGGGTTGAAGGGATTCATCGTAGAATTCACGTAATCATAACATAATTAATATGTTTGTAAATTTTGTAAAATTGAAACATCTAAATTTGATAATGTTATTTACATAGAATATATCTAAGAAAAGTATGAGCTAAAAAATCTAATGGGGGCGGGATTTTGAGATATATCAAAGGGTTTGAATTCCAAATTGTATTTTGTCTAAATATTGCAGGAGTTTGTTTTAAAAAATATAATTTCTTTTTAACCTCGGTTTAATAAATAAATTAAGAACACGCAACTTTTAGATTATATTAATAAACAGAAAAAGGACGAAACCTTGAAAATTTAATTATTTAAAAAGAAGTTTTGCAAATAAAGGATGTCTCTCATTTCTAGCGACTTCTACCTAGAGATGGAAACATTCGACTTTTTTTCATTTCGTTTGTTTATCGTTCGTGAATTTAATTTCATTCGGTCTCAAAACTATTGTTCATGTTTCCATCTATTTCGTTTGTTTTCGTTCAGTAAAATCGTTTGTAAAATGAAATCTGTTGTTCAGTAAAAAAAAATAACTTTTTCTAAAAGGAATTGCAATTTTTTGCCACAAACTCTGATTTTTGGATCCCTAAATCTAAGCAACTCAATGTCGTAGACCTCAGGTATTTCAAAATTTGAATTCTGTTCGATCAAATTATCTAAATATCAAAGGTTTACACCATCATGCTGCAAAGATGTAGGGATTTAAAAATTTGAGTTTGTGGCAAAGACTCAATTCCCTTGTTAAAAAAAGTTGCTTGATCAGTAAAAAAAATAATGTTATTTTTTTAAATCTTACATAAAATTCTTTCGTTTAGTAAAAAAACTATCGTTTTCCGATTTTAAATTGCTCGTTTTTTTCGTTCTTTTTTAAAAACTATCATATTTTCATTTCTCTGAACGATTCATTTCATTCATCTATTGTTTTTTTCTGAAAGACACCTTTTTCGTTCGTTCAAAGAAATTTTGATCATTGAAAAAAAAACAATGCCCATCTCTATCTCTCCCTCTAATATTAGATGCCCATCACTACCTCTCCCTCCAATATTATATGCCCATCTCTACCTCTCCCTCTCATATTAGATGCCCATCTCTACCTCTCCTTTAATATTTTATGCCCATCTCTACCTCTCCCTCTGATATTAGCGCAACAACACTACAGTATTGATTCAACATTTTCAAATATTTATAATCTTTATTATTAGTTTATTATGATTACTTTGTATTTACGATTCTTGCGTGTAGAAAAGGCTACGGCATTTGAGTCGGAAAAATCGTCTTCCTTATATTTCGAATTTGTTTTAACATTACCCCCTACTGGGGTTAAATTAAAATGGGATTTTAATTTAACAAAGAGTAAAACAAATTCGAAACTTTAAAATCCAACCAACCAAGATATAACCCGCCTAGATTTCCATATTTCAAAATGTTGACTTTTAAAGTCAACAAGAATGTCTCTCATTTCTAGCGACTTCTACCTAGAGATGGAAGCATTCGACTTTTTTTCATTTCGTTTGTTAATATCGTTCGTGAACGACCCATTTTGTTAGTTTTTTAAATAGTTTAAATAAATTTAATTTCATTAAGTCTCAAAATTATCGTTCATGTTTCCATATATTTCGTTCGTTTTCTCAATAAACGATCGTTCAGTAAAATAGTTTGTTCAATGAAATCTTTTGTTCAGTAAAAAAATAACTTTTTCTAAAAGGAATCGATTCTTTGCCACAAACTCTGATTTTCGGATCCCTAAATCTCAATGTTGTAGACCTCAGGTATTTCGAAATATGAATTCTGTTAGATCAAATTATCTAAGTTTTAAATATCAAAGGTTTACACCATCGTGCTGCAAAGATATAGCGATTTAAAAATTTGAGTTTGTGGCAAAGACTCAATTCCCTTATTAAAAAAATTGTTTGATCAGTAAAAAAAAATAATGTTATTTTTTAAAATCTTTTTTAAAATTCGTTCGTTTAGTAAAAAAAATATCGTTTTTCGATTTTAAATTGCTCGTTTTTTTCGTTCTTTTTTAAAAACTATCATATTTTCATTTCTCTGAACGATTCACTTAGATGCCCATCTCTACCTCTCTCTCCAATATTAGATGCCCATCTCTACCTCTCCCTCTCATATTAGATGCCCATCTCTACCTCTCTCTTTAATATTAGATGCACATCTCTACCTCTCCCTCTCATATTATATGCCCATCACTACCTCTCCATTAATATTTTATGCCCATCTCTACCTCTCTCTAATATTAGCGCGTAACAACACTTCAGTATTGATTCAACATTTTCAAATATTTATTATCTTTATTATTAGTTTATTATGATTACTTTGTATTTACGATTCTTGCGTGTCTCTATAAAAACATTAAAAAAGAAAATTATATTTTTCTTAAAATAATATACAAGCTCGGTTTTGAGGGGGTAAAACTGAAAAATTTCTAAATTTATTTTTAAACTTCTGTTCTAGTAAAATAACAATTTAACAAATATTGCAAATGCACAAAATCTTTATGTTTCTTAACGATTCCTTTCGTTTAATTAAAGATATAGAGAGTTTGCATATTATAATCAAATGCAATTCTTAAAGGCACCGTATTGCAAGTGAGCCTCCATGCAAAGATATTAATTTTAAGTCATGTTTTTGTTTTTTGAAAACTGTTTATCTTGAATTGTGTATTCTCTTCAACTAAGGGACCTTCACATTTCATGCTTTTACGAAATAAACACATTTCACATGTCAGAAAAACAATGATATCTTCCACATTTTTGATCAGATTAAGGTTTCAAGTGTATCGTTGTGAATCGGGCATTGATATCCTTGCATGGAGGGTCACTTGAAATTACACTTACAGTCCCCTTAGAACAATTAGTAATTACAAGTATAAAAGGAAATAAGGTCGTATTCATTTAGTCTTTTAATTAGAAATGCTTCTACGGATGTTGTTTAAGGAGGGGAGGAAGGCCAACCACATCAATCTCTAGTCCGAACCACATTCTCCTCATTTTCTAGTCCGAACCACCTCGGAATCCTCGTCCTTTCAATATTATTTTTTTTTAAGTGTCCGATCCTTGAAAATAAATACATTTTTTAAAAATCTGGCCACGTTAGGGCATAAAATATGGATGGACTAAAGTATTGCAATGATTATATCATGTTGGAAGCTTCAAACCCATGAGAATGATGTCAAATTTTATTTAGGTAAAACTTAAATCTCTTCTGCATCCGTAATGGCTAACCTTCGTGTTATGAAAAAATAGCAAAATATTTGGCATACCTCTGCCTATAATTTTCCCCATGGAACCACCCGAAAAAATTCTATGGTTTTCACTATAGTTAGCAAAAAAGATTGAAGTTCTATAAACTTGGAATTATTTGCGGCATTCTACACCAGGAATATCTGAAAATGCGCTTAAAAAAGGTGAACATTTTTAAAGACATTAAACTTGAAATCTTTAATTCAATTGAAACTTTTTTTTCGATTTACTAACATTTGATATTTCATCTATGTAACGTCGCCATATTTTTAAAAAATGTATTTATTTTCAAGGATCGGACACTTAAAAAAATAATATTGAAAGGACGAGGATTTCGAGGTGGTTCGGACGAGAAAATGAGGAGAATGTGGTTCGGACTAGAGATTGATGTGGTTGGCCTTCCTCCCCTCGTTTAAGTGAGATTAAAACTTTTAAATGAAATAGGGCTAATCTGTAACGTTTGATATTCACTGTGTTAACTTTTGAATATCAGGGTTATGTGCTTGATCTTTCCATTTCAATCATCCATGCCATGGGTTCAGACCACAGGGACCGATTTTAATGAATTTGAGCTACGTCGCTAAACTTCTTTACTACTGGTTTAAATTTCAAGAGTTTAGCGAACCCTCAAATTCATTATTTTCGGCCCCCGGATATTCAAAAGGAAACCTATTGGTTAAATAACTATTTTAAAGAAAGTTTCTTAGAGTTTAATTCTTTAAAAAAAATATGATATATGGTATAATGATTGAATTATTCCAAGATTCAGATTTAAGAAAAATCAAGATTATAAGATATTTAGATAAATTTATTTTAAAAAAAGCATGATTTAGCAAAAAAGGAAAAAAAACATGCTGTTTACCGGAGGTATCCTAGCCATGGTGGACCTGTAACATAATTTTTTTATTTAAAAAAAGTTTTGTTAGAATTTAAATTCTTGAATAAAACAGCGACTGGGAGGAAACAAAAACAACTAAAGAAAATGGAATCTTTTGAAGAAAAAATATATATTTATATTAGAGCAATATTATATATATATAGATAGATAGATAGATAGATAAATATATAGATTATCGTAAAGTGTAAACTGTACACTTTACATTATTCATTGTACAGTGTACAGCAGTGTACAGCAGTGTACAGCAGTGTACAGCAGTGTATAATTACTAAATTCAGAAATAGAAATAGAGGTCAAAAAAGCACAAGAAAACTTAAAGCTCATGGGATTGGAAGGAATAATATGAATAATGAATGAATATAACAAGAAGAAACTAGGCAAAAAATTAAAATAAAAAATTCGAACTCATGGGTCAGAGAGAACCAATGATATATGAAATCACAAAAACATTGATTTATAACTTTTTTATTTCTCGTAAATCATGATCTCTCATAACTTTATCAACAATTATTTTTCTCTATGCAGAAATTTTTTTCTATAAATTTTTTATTTTTCTGCGTTTGATTTTTGGCGAATTTTCAAGCAGAAAAGATTAAGCATCTCCTCATATCACTTTAAAGGGACTGTAAATGTAATTTCAAAGATTGCAATGTCGGATTCACAACGGTACCATTAAAAGCTTTATCTGACCGAGTAATAAACTATAACTCTATGCTTTTTTTTTCAAAACTGTTATTTTTCTGCGACAGTGACTTGCGCATTTCTTGCTTATAGAAAAACTGGAAAACTAAACAAAAAATTATTTTAGAAAAACAAAAGTATCTTCCACTTTTTTATCAGAGTTTCAAGGGTACCGTTGTAAATCAGGCATTACCATATTCGCTTTGGAGGTAACTTAAAAGGTAACTTACATTCTCTATGTTAATTTTTTACGTTTGTGAAATATTTTTATGGGAAGTTGTTTATTTATTCTCTTACCCTTGTTGTTGTATATTGTATATTCCCTAACTAACAGCTAAATAGTCTAATCAATGCAACTGATCTTAGTACACTAGTAAACTAGACTACTGGAGACTCCTTTCATTCTACCTTTAACCATCACCCTCCCCAACCTTCCCCTCGCTCCCTTCTCCCCCCTTTTAACTTTTCCCTTAGTGCCATCCTACTACCCCTTTAATTTCTTCCTTACTTTTTCTTCCCCTTCCCTCCTCTTCCTTCTACCCCATTCTAACCTTTCCCTTACTACCATCTCACTACCCCTTTAATTTCTTGCCTTACATTTTCTTCCCCTTCCCTCCTCTTCCTTCTCCCCCATTCTAACCTTTCCCATACTACCATCTCACTACCCTTTTTATTTCTTGCCTTACCTTTTCTTCCCCTTCACTCCTCTTCCTTCTCTCCCCCATTCTAACCTTTCCCTTACTACCATCTCACTACCCCTTTTATTTCTTTCTTCCTTCTCTTGAACTGGCGTTCCTTAAGAATTTCCGGTAGCGTTTAATCCTATCAGAGCTCAGTCACGTGCTGTTTTAGCATTAAGAACCAAAAGAGATTGCAACGGCGGCAGGATCTACCTATCTATTCAAATCTTATAATTCACTTGGAGATTCACACCTTCTCAAAGAATTTAGTTCCTATCTATTCCCCTATTAGTCAAAATGTTGATAATATTAATCCAGAAAATTAACATTTCTTTACTTAAAATCTATAAATTCAAAAGTTTAACTATTAAAGAGCTCAGCATGCAGGTTAACTGCATCTAATTTAAAAGTTCCCAAATGACAAATTGAAGATCGCATTTAACTTTAAAGGGACAGACCGGGTATGTAAGGTAGTTGAACTGAGTATGCAGTGTTGTGGAAAGCTTCTTTCGGAATCATCTGAGACATATAAAACTTTTTAAAGATCTGTAAATCATGAGTTTGGGCGCAAATTCGACGTTAAAAATTCCTACTTTGAGGGTGGATACGTTTTCAGACTCGGTTTTTTTTAAAGTACTAAATAACGACGACGAAAATAAAGTAAAAATTATACAGTAATCTAAAGAGATGGTTGGGAACATATTTCTCAAAAGAAATTTGTCAATAAATCAATGCTAGAATCAATTATTTCGTTTTCATCATTATATTGAATTTCTTATTTATTTTTCAGAAATTTTCAAATTCTTCAAGCGTCGTCTTTTCAATAATAATTCCAGAAAATATGCAGAAAATCTTTGTGAATAATGAGAAATTAGAATAATGAGAAAATAGAAACTAGAAAATAGAAATAATTGAATAAGATTACATATTTTCAATGATAAGATTAATTTTTATTTTCTCAACCTGTTCCTAAACAACTAATTAGTTTACTGTAGAGTTTTGTTTCTAAGTTTGACTAAGGTTGACTAAGGTTGACTAAGAGTGACTAAGGTTGACTAAGGTTGACTATGGTTGATTAAGGTTAACAAAGTTTGACTAAGGTTGACTAAGGTTGACTAAGGTTGACTAAGATTGACTTAGGTTGACTAAGATTAACTAAGGTTGACAAAGGTTGACAAAGGTTAACTTAGGTTGACTAAGATTGACTAAGGTTGACTAAGGTTGACTATGGTTGATTAAAGTTAACAAAGTTTGACTAAGGTTGACTAAGGTTGACTAAGAGTGACTAAGGTTGACTAAGGTTGACTTTGGTTGATTAAGGTTAACAAAGTTGGACTAAGGTTGACTAAGGTTGACTAAGATTGACTAAGGTTGACTAAGGTTGATTAAGGTTGACTAAGGTTGACTAAGGTTGACTAAGGTTGACTAAAGTTGACTAAGGGTGACTAAGGTTGACTAAGGTTTACTAAGGTTGACTAAGGTTGACTAAGATTTACTAAGGTTGACTAAGGTTGATTAAGGTTTACAAAGTTTGATTAAGGTTTACAAAGTTTGACTAAGGTTGACTAAGGTTGACTAAGGTTGACTAAGGTTGACAAAGGTTGACTAAGGTTGAATGAGATTGAAGAAGGTTAGCTAAGGTTGACTAAGTTTGACTAAGTTTGACTAAGGTTGACTAAGGTTGACTATGGTTGATTAAGGTTAACAAAGTTGGACTAAGGTTGACTAAGATTGACTAAGGTTGACTAAGATTGACTAAGGTTGACTAAGGTTGACTAAGGTTGGCTAAAATTGACTAAGATTGACTAAGGTTGACTAAGATTGACTAAGGTTGACTAAGGTTGACTAAGGTTGGCTAAAATTGACTAAGGTTAACTAAGGTTGACTAAGGTTAACTAAGGTTGACTAAGGTTGACTAAGGTTGGCTAAGATTGACTAAGGTTGACAAAGGTTAACAAAGGTTGACTAAGATTGAAGAATTTTAGCTAAGGTTGACAAAGGTTGACTATGGTTGACTATGGTTGAATAAGTATACAGCTGTTGTTAATCGTTCATCCCTTTAAAATTACATTAAATTATTGTTTTTTTCAGCTAAATTTTAATTGATCTTTCTGACTGTACTTGTCAGTCGAAATGTCTATGGAAAACTACGCTTCAGATAAAGGTCTCATTCAGTATGTATCGAGTAATAGAGATTAATCATTCATATCCTTCAACCAGATACTACAGATAAACAGAGGAATAGATATATTGATAGATAGATAGATAGATGGATAGAAGAATAGGAAGATATATAGATAGATAGATGGATAGAAGAATAGGAAGATAGATAGATAGATAGATGGATAGAAGAATAGGAAGAAAGATAGATTTCATGATAAGCAGTCGGAAGAAATCTTATCCGAGTGGAATTTTCCAACCATATCAATGGATTCCAAAAAATCAAAAAATGGATATTCTTCCAGCCAATCTTTTTCAACCGGTCGTAAACATTTCCTGAGGTCATATGAGTTGTCACAAAAAAATTGGCCCGATCGGTTTTGGCCGTTTCAGGGGCTTACTCGAGAATTTGCTTAATTTTTTTCTTCTCTCCATGGGGGAGGGGGGCTCAGCACCCAATGAGGCCTGAAAACCCCTTGCAAAGTTTTGACTGATTCAAGGGGGGGACTGAGCCACCCTCCCCGGCACTGCATTCGCCTCTGGCCGTGTTTACTTTGATTGGATACAGACGTGCGAACCAACAGATGTGATACGGTGGTGAGCGATTATATCAATATAATGAAGACGACGTTTTTATTTAAATTTTGATTGTTAACAAGCTTTTTCCGAAGTTTACAAGTAATTAAAGANAATTTGGTTTTCTTTTAACATTAATTTTAGATTTTCTATAAAATGATATTCCAGGGCCCAAGAGGTTATATAGCATAAATATGTGAAGTACAAAATGGCCGTTTTACACTTTTTTCCAGGAAATTCCTCTCTATATATTCTATTCTCTATGCCTGCAATAGATAGTCAATTGAAATTATGCTAAGAGTCCCTTTCAGGAGAAGACAAATCCTAAGATCTAATCATGAAATAATAAATAATTCAGAGGCTTGTGCAGATCTAAAAGTTCAATTAGTTTTGTGCTTAAAATAGAATTAGTAAAAAAAACACGGTGGTAGGCGGTTATATTAATATAAGGAAGACGACTTTCGAGTTAGAATTTTATTTATATCAAGCTTTTAAACACCATGGATACACATAAACATGGAAACAAAAAAACGCTGTCAATTAAAAAAGCTTTTTTTAATTACTGTAAACTTTTAATTCAGAAAAAGCTTACAATTAAAACTCTAACAAAGAGTCTTCTTTATATTGATATAATCGCCTACCAATGTATAAGAAGGGTTAAATATACAGTGCTTAAGATACATTTCATCTGATGTTGATCCGGATCCTAAAATACTAACAGTGATCCGAATCCAGGTCATAAGAATGTTTCTTAAGTTTTAATAATTTCTTTTACCAGACAATTTTTTTTTTCGCTATTATCTACAGGGTGTCCTAATAAACATGGGAATTCAGTGACGTATTCGATATCGTCTTTTTAAACAATTCTTAGATTTAGTAAAGTGATACCTACTGAGAAAGCTGTAATCTGTAAGATTTTCGTCTGCTATGTTTACAATTTGTTTGTTTATGTTTTGACTTCATACGGTTGTACTTAGTAAAACAAGAAAATTGCAGTAATATTTTCTGTAACTGTACATAACTTGTCCGTCGAGTCCGTCTTCACTGTTCATCTTGCGGAGACATTATAGACACATCTTTACAGTCTTTTACCCTTTTCATAAAATAACTTGAAATTAGGTATTACAATGCTAATTCATAACAAAGACGATATCGAATTAGTCACTAAATTCTCATGTGTTTTGGGACGCCCTGTATAATACGAAACATTATTTCGGAATGGTTGACACCAAAAATTTGTGTCTTTTAACTTTCATTTTTTTAGAAGGAAATGAAAACCAGTAAAATTGATTCCAATTTTGTTCTCCGAAACTAAATTTCTTCAGAGCTGAAAACTTTAGAATGGTGGATATCGAGATTAATGCTTGAACCTCTCTTTTTCTTAATATCGAGACTAACCTAATCTTGTACTTAATCCTGAAAAGTTTTTAAAATTCAACCAATCAGAATCGCGTATATGAAGCCGATAAATTTGAAATTTTGCGCACCATTTAAGATGATGTAAAGAAACGGAAGGGACTCTCTAATTTAAAAAAAAACCGGTTTTTGATTTTTCTCTACTATATCCAAGAAAGAACGGTTTAAGAAGAAAATCAAAAGTGTGTCCATTGGATACTTAGATTAAGTAATCGAGATTAAGGATATCTCATTCTAAATTTTTCAGCGCAGTATATAATTGAAAAAAATGGGCCATAGCTTTTCATACCTACTGGGGAACATGTCCATGTGTCTGAAAGGAATAAAAAAGATTGAATTGATTGTTTTATACGTAAAAATAAAAAAAATGGCAGAAAATATTTTGAAAAATCGACAAGGTGTTAAGGGAAACAACAAATAATCTGGGAATGAATATGAATAGTAGAAAACATGGCAAAAATGGGGGAAATAATTTTATTAAAAGTAAAAATAAAAGTTACCTTGTTCATGACATAATTTCGGGGAGAAATAAAACCACCTTCATATAACATAATTATATAGGGCAGTCGAGGGGGGAATACAACTAGGATAGATCAATGAGGGTAATTTATCGGGGAAATATAAGAGGGGGGGAAATATGAAGGGGGGGGGGAATATGAAGGGTAGGAGGCCGTGGTTTACACTTTGTATAATCAATGCATCTTAGTAATTTATCAGGGAATTCCCAAAATCAATCTCTTTGAGAGATGTCGTCTTAAATTTGAAATTCACTTTTTGTAAATTGTTAAACTTTCTACCTTAGAAATAGCATATTAAATAACAAAGAAATATATATTTTTGTGAGTAACAATTTGACAATTTTTAACAATAAATATAAGTCCATTGACTACAGATTTTTCTAATATTTTTATAACAATTATTGTTTTATAGGTTTAAGGGCGTACTAACATGCAGGGTTACCCAAAAAATATGAGTCTTTAATGACGACCTGAAGATTCGATTCGGTTTTCTACCTTAGATGTAAATTTTTCAATGGGATATTATATTATTTTGCAAACAAAGAAACAAATTTGCAGCTGCAGACTTAGCCTTGAATGCAAAATAACAGACAGAATACATTTCGCACAGTCATCTCTAATATCTCAACCTTTTGACGGCAACCCTGTAGTGTGAGATTAAACACCAATGTCTAGGCTGTGCAGACTACCATAGCTTCTTCTCTTTCCTCGCAAAGCTCTGCTGCTGTTGCGGCCAGCATGGACTTTGCAAAGTCATTTAGGTTCAATCCTTTCACGATACTCCACTTTCCGTGAGTGATGGTAACCGGGAAACTGAACATGATTCCGACAGGAGTTCCATAGCTGCCATCAGAGAAAACACCCATAGAGGCCCATTCTCCTGCCTTGGTGCCCTGGAACCAATCCTTCATATGGTCGCAGGCTGCCTTAGCAGCTGACATGGCGGAACTCAACTTACGGGCGGCGATAACAGCAGCACCACGCTTTTGCACAATTGGGACAAATTCCTTTTGAATCCAGGCATTATCAACAAGTCCAGCTACTGGCTTGCCATTTACCTGAGCTTGGGAAGCATCAGGGAACTGGGTTGAGCTGTGGTTGCCCCAGATAACAACATTCTTTACTGCTTCAACCTTAACACCGAGCTTATTGGCAAGTTGTGCAGAGGCTCTGTTCTGATCAAGACGAGTCATGGCAGAAAAGTTATCCTTTGGAATGCTGGGTGCATAGTGGGAGCAGATCAATGCATTTGTGTTGGCTGGATTTCCAACCACCAATACCCGGACACTCTTCTTTGCATACTTGTCTAGAGCCTGTCCCTGAACCTTGAATATCTTAACATTAGCAGCCAGAAGGTCCTTGCGCTCCATGCCCTCACGCCTGGGCATTGCTCCCACCAGGAAGGCAGCGTCAATATTGTCAAAGGCCTGAGCAGGATCATCTGTTGCAATAACAGCCTTTACTAACGGCATAGCACAATCCCTGATCTCCATAACAACACCATTGAGAACTCCCATCATGGGGGCAATATCAAGCAGAAATAGATTAATGGGCTGGTCATATCCAAACACATATCCACTAACAATTTGATAGATAAGTGAGTATGCAATCTGTCCTGCAGCTCCAGTTACAACTACAGAGATAGTAGGTTTAAGGTTTGAGAAATTTACATTTGCAGCCGGCATAGAGGGGGCTACAGATTTGATCTTAGTTACAGCCTCATTGATAGATTCAGCAACATAATCTATGTTGCCAGGGGTGACTCCACACATGGATATCCTGCCACATTTAAGGAGATAGATGTGCTTCTCCTTGACCAAGAACATGGATTGTTCAACAGACAGCCCGGTGTAGCTGAACATGCCTATCTGATCAGTAATATGATTCCATTTTCCAGGTGTTCCAAGCTTTTCAAGCCTTTCCCTCAATCCCTTCCTCATGTCAATGATCCTGTTTGCCATCACTTTAATGCAGTCCTTCCATTCCTGGAACAACTTTGCATCCTTGAGAACCAAATCTACAATCCTGCAACCGTGAGCAGGCGGGTTGGAGTACATTGCTCTAATAATCAAGGTCATCTGGGACTTGAAGCTTGGAACCTGGTCCTTGTTCTTCAAAACAACTGTCAGATTTCCTGCTCTCTCATTGTACAGGCCAAAGTTCTTGGAAAAGGACTGGGAACAGAACAGTTCAAAGCCTCGTTCAACAAAGTAACGCACAGACCAGGCGTCAGTATCAAGACATCCAGAGGCAAATCCCTGCATAAAATACTTTTATGAGTAAATATGTGAGTAAATATGCCTAACAAAAATTCTCTCCAAATTGTATAAAAGATTATCTTATTTAGAAAATAAGTCATTAATATTAATCTTTACCATCTTTACCTGGTATGCACAATCAAAGAATGGGAAGAGCTTTTTCTCCTGCATCAGGTCCGCAAGTTTTTCCCATTGAGCTTTGGTAGGATCAACACCGGTTGGGTTGTGAGCGCAAGCATGAATAATAATCACTGAATTCTGTGGAGCTGCAGAGAGATCCTCCAACATGCCTTCAAAGTTAAGGCATCTATTGACAGGATCCCAATATCTGTACTTTCTTATAGCAGTAAAATTAGCATTCTTGAAGATAAGTCCGTGATTACCCCAAGTAGGGTCAGAGTAGTAGCAGGTGTTGAAACCAAGAATCCTTTGGAGGAACTCAGCTCCATTTCTCAGAGCCCCAGTTCCACTCAGGGCTTGGACACCAAAGGCTCTCCCATCCTTAACAGCTCCAGAACTTTCTCCCAGAAGCATTGAAGTTGCTGCTGCAGCAAAAGACTCGAGTCCAAGAACTGGAAGGTATTCATGATTAATTACTTCTTCGTTGACTTGTTCAGCAAGCTTAGTTTCTGCTTTCTTCACAACAGGAAGAATCCAGGGTTTACCCTCATCTGTTCTATAGGCACCAACTCCTAGACTTACTTTCTTGGGGAACGTATCAGCCTAAAAAAATGGTAAATTTTTCTATTAATTTTAAGATGTTAGAAAATAAGCTTTAAAAGATTTTAAAAAAACTATTTTTATCAAGGATTACATATTTTTTTGTATGCTTAATTAATTTAAGTGTATTGCATATAGTTTTAATAATCATTTGCAAAAATAAGGGATCTCTATACTTCATGGTCCCTATTAGGGCTGGGCATTTTCCTTTTTTCATGGGCACTACTCAGTACTCATGGGGATGGATGCCATAATTGTTCTTCATAATCCTTTGTCATTGACAATTTTTTTTAAAATAAACTGAATCTGCCATAATTAGGAACAATTTATGAGAATATTCATTGACAAAAAGTTTTTTTTTTGAGAGAGAGAGAGAGAGAGAGAGAGAGAAAGAGAGAGATATTGGCCATGTCTAAGATTCTGATTCTTTGCAATAGGTAAAAACTCATTATTAAAACTTTATGTAAACAATTTTCATTATATTCAACATTCAAATTAGAATTTAACCCTTTATGAAAAAGAAACCAGCATTAAGCTTATTCTTCCAAGGATCAAGGTTTTTCCTCTAAGTGACTATCTGCTTAACTTTAAGTGACCCTCCATTTATAGAGGTGTATGACTGATTCATTATGGTACCATTCAAACCGCTATCTGAGTAACAATATGCACGATTTCCTCATTTTTCTGCTACAATTCCGCAAGTCACTTTTACAGAAAAACCACAAGTAAAAGTCATCCATTTCTTGCATGGAAAAACTTGGATATCTCATTTAATCTTGCTGATTTCGTTGTGAATCGGACCTTCTACTTTTTAAATGAAGAGTCAGTATTCAGTAAGAGTTTGATTAATTACCTGGAAATCCCTTGAAAGCTGGAAAACCTCAATAGGAGGAGCCATCTCTACTCCAGCAAATAGTCCACAGCTGGAACTTAATAGAAACATAGTTGGACATATTGTTTAGTGGAATTTACTAATAATTTGTGAAATTCTTTATTTACAGAGTGTCATAAATGATTCACTATACAAGTTATGTTATATTTAATACTGAAATATTAAAAACTAGGTATTCAGGATGCTTTGAACTCTGAAAGTCGCCATATTTAATAGATCTTATATTTTCACGGGGTTTTAGTATAAATAGGTCCATTTTAAAAAATAATAAATTCGTAATTTTTTTCCGGGGAAAATCTTTTCAACTCCCTGGCTGTCAGTTGCTTTGGAATTGATTGGTTCAGCCGTTTTTACGTTTTTTTAAACAAGCAAACACCCAGACAAGCAATGTATATGTATAGATAAATATATAGAAGATTGATTTAATGTGTCAACAATTTCAAACCTTGAGATGCTTTCAATAAACTTTAAAATCCCACAAAAAAGATAAAAAAGCTAATGTGGCATGGAAGGGGAAAATGTTGTGGCTTACAGCCGCCTGCACTCCCTCGCTCCTTCAAGTGAAAGTTTCTAATCAACTTTTTTGTCAACAGTCTTATACAGGCCGTTGTCTACATAACATGACAGTTGAGAGAGAGAGAGAGGGGACTTAAATGTCGTCTTTAATCTTCGAAATAAGTTGCAGCATTCATTCGTAAACTTAATTTGACGAAGAAAATTCTTGAAACAATAACTACAAAATATTGGCTTTTCAAATTACGAAAGATAATTTGATTTTATTCTTATTATCAGAAAGGTAAACCACATTTTGGAAATGGCATTTTTGATTTTCATTTTAAGAATTATACTTGACAAATGAAGATTGTTTCAAAGAAGTCCCAATTCTAAACTTACCCAGATATTTCAGCATCTCTGGACTGCATATACGCAATAAGATCCACCACCCGGCAACTGTAGCCAAACTCATTATCATACCTGAACAAACAAGTTCAAACAGTTTATTCTTTTTCACAACACAAAATAGATTATTTAAAGTAAATTCTATTATTTCAAAGTTGTTAAGTAGGATGCAAAGTTAACCCAAAAAGCTCAAATTAAAAATTTGCCATAGCAGAAGTAATAAATATTTGTATTCAATGTATCTATTATTTGTATTAATTTTGTTTATTTACTTTCACCATGTTATTTGGTTAAAATATATTTATAGATAAGAAAAACACAATTAGAATCAAGCAATTAACCCTATCCTGGTTGGGATATTTTTGTATAATAAAGATTTACATGTCTCAAGGTTAAATCTCTAACTTGTATAAATCATGCAATGAATTCAAATTCTGCTGAGCTGTTCATTCATTTTTTATCTAAATTTATTAATTAATTTACGTTTTCAAGGAAAAGAAACTTTGATTTCAGAAAATATGCAGGGTTACCCACAAAGCACGAGACTGTAAAGACGACCTGAAACTGTTTCAAGGTTAAATTAAGTCTTTCTATGTCGTATATGATGATTTGGCAAAGAAAGAAGTGTATAATTGCAGGGAATCATGAATATAAGAAAACAGACGGTACAAATTCCGTACAGTCGTCTCTGAAGGCTCAACCTTTGTGGGTAACCCTGTATAACAGCGAGATTTTTTCTCAAAATGTCCTTACAAATCTGAATACAATAAATCAATAAAAAATCAAAACAATTGAATAAATCATCATTTTAGAAGATCGGCATGATTCCAGGACTTTTAAACAAACGAGATGAACCTTTTCAAACGAGATGATGTAAAAAGTTTCTGCGCACTTTTGAGATTTAACAATGATTCAAACACGATTTTTCTTGCATGATCTCTTTATGTTTAAATACATGTTTATGAAAATAAACTATGAATGATTATAATTAAGGGAAAAATTAGTCCAAATTATATTTTCATCTTTTTGAAAAAACAAAAAATATCTAAATTTTTCGTTTTGACCAGAATTAACTAAGCCTATTTTAGCATGTTGAAATATGGCCCAATAGGACCTGCAGGACTATCTTAAAAATACTTATATTAATTAAAAAATAAGTGAACAGTCCCTTTAAAAATGTAAAAATCTCGAACTTACCAGGTGACCAGCTTGACAAAGGTATCAGAGAGTTGAATGCCAGCTTTCTTGTCAAATATTGAAGATCTTGTGTCGCCCAGTAGATCTGTTGATACTAGCTCCTCCTACAGTGGAACCCATAAAACTGTGGAATAGAAAGACGACAGTAAGACTCAAGTAATGATTTAAACAGTCCAATGATCATTAAAACACCGCAATTGTGCATTGTACACACTGCAGAAATACATTTTACTTAATACAAAACTATTTGCTTTACTTCAATATTAAATTAGGCTGATTAAATGTCGTCTTCTTATTTCACAGTTTTATGGGTCCTATTCTTGAAAGAAATTGGCTTAAAGATTTTTATATCAATCTGGTAGAATTGGCTACAGATTTAAAGATTTTTATATCAATCTGATAGAAGTGGCTACAGATTTAAAGATTTTTATTTCAATCTGGTAGAATTGGCTACAGATTTAAAGATTTTTATATCAATCTGGTAGAATTGGCTACATATATAAAGATTTTTATCTCAATCTTTTAGAATTGACTACAGATTTAAAGATTTTTATATCAACCTGATAGAATTGGCTACAGACCAAAAGCTTAGCGTCAAATAACACGCTATGATAGAATCACATAAAATTTTATAAATGTTTTTTTAAATTCTAGAATTACAAACATAAGAATAGGAAAAGGTTTTATTTAAGCCTTGACTTTTAAATTAAAATTTTGACGTGGCGATATTGGATGAGGCTAATTTTTCTCAAATACATTTGTAGATGGTAAATACTAAATATCTCCTAACAAATGTTGTTAACATTTTCAAAAATAACTGCAGTTTTTTTTTGTTAAAAAAAAGATCAAGAGGAAAGGATTGTCTTCAGATCATTGCAAACTAATGCAAAAAGTAATTTCAGAAGTTTACGCATTTTTTGTATTGCAGTGTACTGTGTTTGGGCGGAAAAGTGAACACAAGACGGATGTCACAGCCTGACATGAAATCCATTTTAACAAACTATTGTGTGAATTATCAAAATTAAATGCTTTGTTCCTCCTCGGATACTAGACGAACACTGATGCATCTATTTTTGTTTACAAATTCCGCCCAGAGAGAACTGGTTTCAATATGTACGCAGAGTATACATAACCACTAGGGGAACTGAACATGAGCCTAAAACTTGTTCCAATCCCCATATATCATTAGGTATCTGAGAGTGTACAGAAGGGTCAATAGCGGACTGCTATAGGCTTGTCTCCCACCCTTGAATTTACACCTAGCTCTTATCTGAGTTGATTCATTGGAACTTAAACGGAAGTTGATTGAAGGATTGACAGCGATTATTATTATTATTATTATTGTTATTATAGTTGCATTCCTTTTGTGCAAAGATTTAATATTTCAAGCTTTTACTATCAGATTTAGATTTTAAAAAAGGTCTACAACATCAGAGCTGGCAACTTTTTAGATGGATACCGATTGCTTGATCTTGATAACCACTGTGGGCTCTTTTGAAGATAAATGCTTAATCTCTTAATTTCGGTTATTCTTGCAAGGTATGATTACTGCACTGGATATCGAATAAGATTAAATTAATCTGTAGATTAACAAAAGATAGAGATCAAGTATTGATCTTGGTATCCACAATACAAGAGTTCCCCCTCAGGTTGCAAAAATACATAAAAAAAATTCTATAAAACATCCCAGCCCAGAATTACCTCTGAATACCCAAGAATACCCTTCATAGGACCATCAGCAGCTTGCTTAATTACTCTGCAGATCTCTTCATACTTATTAGGGGAACTGAACATGAGCCTAAAACTTGTTCCAATCCCCATATATCATTAGGTATCTGAGAGTGTACAGAAGGGTCAATAGCGGACTGCTATAGGCTTGTCTCCCACCCTTGAATTTACACCTAGCTCTTATCTGAGTTGATTCATTGGAACTTAAACGGAAGTTGATTGAAGGATTGACAGCGATTATTATTATTATTATTATTGTTATTATAGTTGCATTCCTTTTGTGCAAAGATTTAATATTTCAAGCTTTTACTATCAGATTTAGATTTTAAAAAAGGTCTACAACATCAGAGCTGGCAACTTTTTAGATGGATACCGATTGCTTGATCTTGATAACCACTGTGGGCTCTTTTGAAGATAAATGCTTAATCTCTTAATTTCGGTTATTCTTGCAAGGTATGATTACTGCACTGGATATCGAATAAGATTAAATTAATCTGTAGATTAACAAAAGATAGAGATCAAGTATTGATCTTGGTATCCACAATACAAGAGTTCCCCCTCAGGTTGCAAAAATACATAAAAAAATTCTATAAAACATCCCAGCCCAGAATTACCTCTGAATACCCAAGAATACCCTTCATAGGACCATCAGCAGCTTGCTTAATTACTCTGCAGATCTCTTCATACTTAGCTGGTTTTTCAAGCTTTACAGTCAGATCAACAACAGAGACATCTATACAGATATTATAGATCAACAACAGAGACATCTATAAAGATATTATAGATCAACAACAGAGACATCTATAAAGATATTATAGATCAACAACAGAGACATCTATACAGATATTATATATCAACAACAGAGACATCTATACAGAGATTATAGATCAACAACAGAGACATCTATACAGAGATTATAGATCAACAACAGAGACATCTATACAGAGATTATATATCAACAATAAATATAAATACAGATATACAACAGAGCCATCTATATACATCGATTTTGGATCAACAACAAAGACATCTACAGAGGCAGCAAGTGACCAAACAATCGTTCTTTAAAGTACGTCATTGGACGGACCTCATTTTGACAATAAAACAGAGCCCATATTGTTTCATCCGTACATTTTACTAACATTTGACGTCTTAGACTGTGTCCGTACGGTGAAACACGGCACCTCACGGCGAAATCAAATGGAAAGCATAGTAAAATTAGATTATGTGCTTCGACACCTACACTAGGGAGACATTTAGCGGCCAAACACTATAGAGTATGAAGCATACAAAGTACGTCTTAAATACACCCGTTAATTTGGGACGATCTGGGCTCAGGCTTGGAATCCGCTGTCTCAAAAAGTATACCTGGAGTAGGAACTCTGAATGCCATCCCGGTCAATTTTCCATTCAGCTCAGGGATAACTTTACCTACCGCCTAGAGAGTTAGAAATAGAGAACAAATTGTTAGAAGTAGGGAAGGGAAAATATTGATAGAAAAAGAGAGCAAACTGTTATATTTATCAAACATCTTGTTAAAACATGCTGATTGATTTTAGTGAAAAAATAGGGAGCAATCGGTTGTATTTAGATTAAGGATACATTTACCAATTTAAAAAAAAAGAATTTTGTCCAAAAGTTGTCTTTCTATCCCATGAATATATTTAGAGGAACACTGTACGTACATTCCTCTGGTGGAGTTCAACTCTTAGCTGCACGTGTCGGAGGTAGGGTTGTTCATCGTTTTGGTTTTCTTTTGGTTCGTTTTGTGCAAATATTTTCTCTCAGGGTCAAAATTTTCCAAGATGTAACAAAGGCAAATGTTTTCAAAATTGTTATCCCATAACTTAACTCAAGTGTAAAATATGCAAAAACTGACCAAAAGTGAACCAAAACGGACCAAAAGCGAACCAAAATGGACCAAAAACGAACCAAAAGCGAACCAAAACGCACCAAAAGCGAACCAAAACGGACCAAAAGTGAACCAAAATGGACCAAAAGCGAACCAAAACGCGCCAAAAACGAACCAAAACGCTCCAAAAACGAACCAAAAGTGAACATATTTAAACAATAGTCTTTTGATTCGTCGGAGGTGTCAAAGTATACTTCGTAAAATTAGACAAGATAAAAGGAATGTCTTTGATTGGACTTATTGATCTAAAAAAAAATATTAAAATAAATTTTAAAAACTCTACCTTAGCTGCTCCAGTGGACGCTGGAATAATGTTTTGACCGGCCCCCCGTCCTCCTCTCCAGTCCTAAACATAGGAACTACATTTAAAGGAATTGCACACACAATAAATGGCTTATTTAGCTTGTCCAATTCCAAGCAAGGATGACCCAGCTCACTACTCAAATATTAGGTTTTTCCTTGACTAAATATTGATTAATTCACACTGAGAACTAAATCTAATATGTACATCCAAGAAAAATAAATGCAAGAGCAAAAATTGGCTTGGTTTGTAGGTTATTTAGCTTTATGCGATAAAGAAATATATGCAAAAAAACCCATTTAAGTTTCTCCCATGGTCAGATTTAGAGATTTATAAGTTATCTAATAATCATGATTAGTTTAGTAAATGCTCCTGTTGGGTTTTTACTAATTTCTACAAAATCGACATATAATTGTTCAGGCTATATATATATAAATAGGAAAAATAATTTTTATCTTTGCCTCTCATTCAAAACCCCATAAAGATATATGCTGATCAAAATGGTGAATTTGTTTATCATGACTTTAAGATAATTTAGAAACGTTTTAAAGTTCTAGCACTAAAGCTGACCGTGGGAGAAGCTAAAATGTGCTTTTTGAACATATTTCTATTTGCGCATAAATCTGAATAACCTACAAACCAAGCCAATTTTTGCTTATGTATTTCTTTTTCTTGGATGTTCACATTAAATTTAGTTCTCAGTGTGAATTAATCAATATTTAATCAAGGAAAAACATAAAATGATCAGATTTTTTGTACAATTTGATAAATCTAAAAGACCTAATATTTGAGTAGTGACCGATATGTCATTATCAGACTAGCATCTAAAAGACCTATTAATTTAGAGAAAATTGAGTTCCAAGAGATTAAAGGTTACAGCGTTCACTTCATTCCAGTAGACAATTGCAATTTCCAGGCAGAAAAAAATCCAGTGACAAAAAAGAATATCTACGTCATTCTTGATCAAACTTAAAGGTTTAAAGGTTTAAAGGTTTAAAGGTTTAAAGGTTTAAAGGTTTAAAGGTTTAAAGGTTTAAAGGTTTAAAGGGTGTTGTAAAAATGCTCAATTTATTAAGATTCAAAGTAAGTGCAGCCTTTTGTTTCCACAGCCGTAGTACATTTGAATTTCCGAGCCGGGTCAACCTTTCCGGTCCCAGTTTGTTCTGTACCTGGCTCTATGGACAGGACTAGCCGGTACAACAAGGTTGACGCGGTCAGACTTTATGCTTCATATAGGTTGAATTTACTTTTACTAAAGGGGCAGAGGTGCGTGTTTCTTGATAAGCAAAACTTTTAAGATTACCATCAGACGTGAATCAGACTTCTTTCTATTCATACAAGTTTGTAAATATTGATCTTGTAGATTTTCAATAGTTTTTTTTATTTTTAAACAACTCTGACATGACTTTAATGTCCTTATAGCAGAAGAGCAATGTCAGTAGCCAACACATTTTTTTCAATCGTCTAATACAAGTAGGAATACGACCTTTTACTCGGAAATGGGTTATCTGAGGGAAATGGCACCCAAGGTTATAATGCAAGGAAAGGTATTTTCAGTTGCGTATACTCTGCGTACATATTGAAGCCAGTTCTCTCTGGGCTGTGTTTGTAAACAAGAATAGATGCATCAGTGTTCGTTTAGTATCCGAGGAGGTTTAAAGCATTAAGTTTTGATAATTTTGATAATTCACATAATGGTTTCCTATGACCTATTTCATTGATTTTTTATGTGAAAAATGGATCCCATGTCAGGCTTCGACATCCGTCTTGTGTTTACATTACCGCCCAGAGTCAGTACACTGCAGTACAAAAGATGCGGACACCTCTGAAATAACTTTCCTTGCATTATAACCTTGATGCCACCCCTCCTTGTTTACGGGGGGAATTAACAAATATACCTTTCCGCTGGGTCCATCTACAGTCTTCTGGGTCGCAGTTGTAGCATGAACGGTAGTCATCAAACCTAAACGTCTTAGTAATCTAAATTAAAGAGACTGTAAGTGTAATTTTGAGTGACTCTTCATGCAAAGTTGGGAATGTCCGATTTACAACGGTACCCTTTAAAGCTTTGTCTGATCAAATATGAATTTGATATCCATGTTTTTTTTTAAATGAACTAAAGGGTCACAAAAAAATTTCCTGACAGTCATTCCCTTTAAAAAGATTTAATTTCTAGGGCTATTTTAATACGAAAATTTATGTATATAAAATTTTGTATAGAAATAGTTGGAGAAAACCTAAGTTACTAAGTTGTTAGGTTTCTCTGGGATATCTTCGTTTTCAGATTGGTTGCGTAATTCCTGAATATGACTTGTTGTATATATATGTATTTGTACATATATGAATTTTCGTATAAAGACACAGTTTTATATCAATTTCTCGAGACATGAACATCAGATATAACTTTCATGGGTTGCGATCAAGAGCTAAAGTGATTAGCTTTCTGCCTATACCCCCTTTCATTTTTCTTTTACAGTCCCTTTAAAGGGACTATAAACGTAATTTCAAGTGACCCTCCATTAAAAAAAAAATAAACAAAGTGGAATGTCCAATTCACAACATTACCATTGCAATCTTTGTCTAATCAAGTATGAATTAGATATCCATGGTCATTGTTTCTTAAAACTGATTAATTTCAATTGTAGCACTTCTCTATAAAAGTGACTTGAGCATTTCTTTCAATTAAGGTTTCAAGGGTGCCGTTGTGAATTGGCATGTCCCTTTATAAAGGGAGGGTAAAGACATGAAATAGAAAGCTGCAGATAAAAAAACATCTTTGCTTTGGCTTCACAAAAATCTGAAATTATAATTGTTCAATATTATTGGTCTACAGTTTGCTTTTATTCCATTGTGCCAAATTTGTACTCTGACAGAAGAGATTGTTAATACGAAGCAAGAAATATATAGACCAGGAACCGCCATATCTCATGCGTCAAATCCGTGTACTGCAGTGAGAGCAGATCAAAACAGAGAATTCAGGGCAACGCATCATTTTTGAGGGAAAAGGGCCCAAGGGGTGGAATAAGAATATATTGCTATTGTATTTTCCATATTGACCAGAAAGCCAAAAATCAAAAGTATTCGCTCTAACTTGATATATTAACTTGTTTTTTGTTGGACTGTAATATCACATCAGAGCTTTAGTCCTTTCCCTTCAACTTCTGCATGGGGGCACTGGGTTTGTTTACATTCGTCCCACAGACTACAGTACACAATTTGCGTATAACTGATTTGGGCGTTCCTGTATATAGTTCCTTGATACGAAGCTTCTACTATAATAAATTTTGCATGCAGCTTAATAAGAGCTAATAATAAATTCTACATTGACATAACATAATAATAACCAGATATTTATGAAGCCTTATAAAATACGAATTTTAAAATTACTCAGAACTATTAAATCTAGTACAAACCTTCAAGGATTGTAAAGTTATCATTGATAACTTTAGCAAGAGGAGCCAGGCAGTTGGTAGTACATGAGGCATTAGATACAACTGCAGTACAGTACATGATTATTTCACCCAACGTGTAGAGTACAGTACATGATTATCTCAACCATTGTTTAGAGTACAGTACATGAATATTTCAACCAATATGTAGAGTACAGTACACAAATATTTCGACCAATGTGTAGAGTACAGTACACAGATATTTCAACCAATGTATAGAGTACAGTACATAAGTATTTCAACCAATTTGAAGAGTACAGTACACGATTATTTCAATCAATGTGTAGAGTACAGTACATCCACTGTGTGCAGTACAGTACATACATATGTATTTAGAATAATGTATTTCTATTTCCCAGACCTCAGATCATACTTTTTAAAAGCAATCTGCATAAAGTTCAACAAGACAGAATATTTTTCTTAAATTCCTTGATTGCGTCATGAGAAAGTTACTTTCTGCGCATCTGACTTCAGGATTTTAAAGATGCAATATTTCAGACAAGAATGTTCTGTTGCTAACCAATACTTAAAGAGATTGTTTATAAAATTTAAGGAACATCTAACAGATTTTATTGGATTTTTAAAACTCAAAATAAGAATAATACAAACAGATTTAAATTTTTTTTTTACTTAGGAAAATTATTTAATTGTAAAACTTAAAAGTAATTGATGACCAATCTATGTTTTATTGGTAACAGAGGGGGTGCAGGGGGGGGGGTAGAAGTTAAAAACGAATATTTTTAAAAACTTAATTTCAAAATATCATTTTGCAATTGTAGCTAACAGCAATGTAGAAATAACAAGAAGGTTGAATAAAAAATTTAGTTTTTATAAGTCTCAATTCCATCTTTAAATTCATTTTCTAAATATTATTTAAGTCTCTTTTTAAGTAATTTTAAGAGAAAGCAGTTTTCCCTTTAGTTTAGCAGCGTAAAAAGGTTATGCAAGGAAAAAGAAAGGATTTAAACATTTTTTGAATATTTAATAGAGGAAACAGACTTTCACGTTGGATAAAGTTCAATGATTTAAGATTTGAAAAACAAAGCAAGAGCATACTTATTTTTGTCAATCTGCACATACATACATTTATTGGCTAGTACAAGCCAAAGAATTATAATGTAAAGATAGTTATTTCAGAGGTATATGCATTTTTAGTACTGCCGTGTACAGTTTCTGGGGTGTAAAGTAAACACAAGACGGATGTCACAGCCTGACATGGGATCCATCTTTCACATAAAAAAAAACAATGAAATATTCTGGCCATAGGAAACTTTTATGTGTATTATAAATTTTTTTTAAAGTAAATACTTTTATCCTCCTTGGATACTAAACAAACACTGATACATCTATTCTTGTTCACAAACACAGTTCAGAGCGAACTGGTTTCAATATGTACGTAAAGGTACAAAAAAAGCAATTAATGTACCTTGCCTTATTTCCTTGGTACAAGTTAAGTGATATGAACTAAGGAGAGGGGGATAATGCTAACATTACGTAAATTTACGTTTTAATTACGTAATTTGGTAAATAGAGATATAGTAGAGTATGTACTGTATAACTGAATGTTAAAATAATCTTCCTTGCATTGCTGGATCATACTTCTCATTGTTAACTCCCATAACGAACATTGGTGCATCGGCTGATGGAGCGGAGATAACAACCTTCTTAGCACCACCTAGCATGATATCATTATGTTAAATATTGATAACTATTGATATCATTTTTTTAATTATGTCTAACAATTATACTATTATATCTACTAACAATTAACTTAAAAATATAAAGAAAAGTTGTAGAGATACCTTGTAGTATTGAGGAAGGTTAGGTTCGTCATGCATGACTGAGGGAGCGTTTACCTGACAGATGAGCTGATGCTCCTGCAACAGTAGTGAAAACCCCTGTAGACTCTACAACATATTCAGCCCCTGCTGAAGACCAGGAAATATTTTTAGGATCCTTCTCGGCGAACACAGTAATACACTTCCCGTTGACCGACAGCTTGCCGCAGTTGGTTTTCTTAATCTCAGGGCCACTACGGTGGTAACCGAAGTGGGTTGAGTCATGCCTTAAAGAAAAATATAGTTACCAAAGTGACTAAAAATAAAATCACTAAAAACCAAAGCCAGTAAATTCCAAAGTCCATAAAGACCAAAGTCAAAAGATAAATAAGTCATATACAGCCAAAAGTTACTTATGATCAAGTAATTAATACCAGTCATAAAAAAAAAATTATTAGCGACCAAGGCACAACATATCTAACCTAACAAATGTTGATAACATTTTCAAAAATNAGCAAGGTTTAGATCTTACTTGAACATATAAACCATGTAGTCTAGATCTATGAAAGGATCATTGATGGCAACCACCTCTGCTCCTTTCTGGACTGCAGCCCTAAAAAAATCATAACATAATATTCCACGAATCAAAACCAAGAAAAGAATGTTGATACAAAATAATGAGCATCAAGTTTGGACCAATAAAATTGTGGAATAAGGTGTTGATTTTAATAGCCATTGATTAGAGCAAAAGTGCAATGTACACAGACCCATTTTGCTTCGTAATTTGATTGTTAATTGTTTGCTGTAAAACAACAAGAAATAAAACTGCTTAAACGTAGTCTTCATATTCCACAGCTTTGAGGGTTTCACTGTATATTGTATGTATTGTCCACTCAATCCTTTATCGGTCCAATCCTTTATTTAAGTACAAACCTTCAATCCTTTATTTAAGTACAAACCTTCAATCCTTTATCTAAGTACAAACCTTCAATTCTTTATCAAAGTACAAACCTTCAATCCTTTATCTAAGTACAAACCTTCAATCCCTTATCTAAGTACATTCCCCCCAATTTTTGTCTAAGTAAAAACCTTCAATCCTTTATCTAAGTACAAACCTTCAATCCTTTATCTAAGTACATTCCCCCCAATTGTTAACCTTTATCTATGTACATTCTTTTATCTAAGTGGAAACCTCCCAATCAATCATAATCCAAATACCATTGATCCTAATCTGATTAGATTACCTAAGTACAAGCCTCCCAATCCTCCCAAATCCGTTGATCCCAATCTTGGTAGCTTTCCCAAACCTAGAACTATTCTCTGCTGAGAAAGTAGATTCCCACTTGGAGTAGTTAGCGGACCAGCTCTCTAGGCCTAAAATAATATTTGTCAAAAATCAAAATATTTTTGGACAAATTTGGACTTTTTAGCGAGCTTTGTCGCTGTAATTTCACACACACACACTCTGCGGGTAATAGGTTTTTAATAATTACCTTTAGCTGTCTTGATTGGGCATGCGTTGCATGCTGCAGCTGGCTTAGTCGGAGTAGGACAGAATTTTCGATCAAGCAAAGCTCTAAAAAAAGTGTTTATGAAGCGCCCTTTATGGCAATAATATTAGCTATTAAATGTTGTTTTATTTCCTCCGACCATTTCATCCGTTTTGACGTTTGTTGGATACAAACAAACTGACAGAATAACTAAAAAAAAAAGCCAAAAATAAATATTCTTTGGCTCCAAATAGATTATCAAGTACAATATAGATGGCAAGAGAGAAAAAGACCAGTTATACATGACGTCACAAATGTCAAAAATAAGTTAAACGATATTTTCTCCTATTAGTTGACATGTTTTCCAAGATTAAATAAAAAAATGTAAAAACGGAAAATAAAGAACACATAAAATTTAATTTATTTTACTGTAAGATAAGCTCTTATATCTAAAATTATCACAATTATTAATAATTTTGTCGGACACAAAAACTAAGTTGACACTTGTGACGTCAGAACACTGCAGGTGTACTGAGAGTGTACAAATTCTCCCATCTATTTTACTTGACAATCTATTTGGTTTGACTCTAAATAACGTAGAGAAGACGACATTTACTTTTTGTATTAAAACTTTGTCAGGTGTACCGAGTTTGTCAATAGTTTGTAAACCTTATAACCATTCAAGTATTGCGTTTAAGTATATATGCATATTTATCAACATTATATATCATATATTTTTCAGTTATGTACCCTTGATGAGTGTATGATGTAAGAATACAGCTGTACTGAGAGTGTACAAATTCTACGCTGCCATTTATTGTACTTGACAATCTATTTGGTTTGGCTCTAAATAACGTAGAGAAGACGACATTTACTCTTTGTATTAAAACTTTGTCAGGTGTACCCAGATTCCTTGAAAGCTCAGCACCTTGCACTGGTGCCAGAGCCAAAAATTAATTTATCAATATTAAAGGTAATAGTTTGTAACCCTTCAAACCATTCAAGTATTGCGTTTAAGTATATATGCATTTTTATCAACATTATTAATCTTATTAATGTTTTATTTTTCAGTTATGTACCCTTGATGAGTGTATGAGAAATATTGTTAATAAATCTAAAGAAACTTACACAAGTCACCCAGACAAAACTTGTTGTCCATGGGTTTTATTCAAGGTTATATAATAAGCTCTGGGTTACTCTCCAGTGTATGGAAAATGTCGTCTCCTAAGATAGATAGATAAAAACCTAATCCAAGAGACGACATTTTCCGTACATCGAAGCGCATCGAGAGTAACCTAACTAATTATACAGGGTGTCCTAAAAAACATGGGAATTCAGTGACGAATTCAATATCGTCTTTGTTATGAATTACCATTGTAATACCTAATTTCAAAAGCCATAACATTATTATGTCTGCTAGAGTTTATTTAAGGAAAAGGGTAAAAGACTGCAAAGATGTGTCTATAATGTCTCCGCAAGATGAACAGTAAAGATGGACAAGTTTACTCTGTTTGTATACTGTAATTTTCTTGTTTTACTAAGTAAAACCGTATGCAGTCAAAACATCTATATATAAATTTGGCTTGTCTGTTTTATCGAATTCGTCACTGAATTCCCATGTTTATTGGGACACCCTGAACAACCTTGGTTTTGTTGAAAAAGGCTATGAAACACGAAACGAAACTCATCTACTTTCAACAAGATATACAACATAATCCTCCACCTGACTGATTCTCCGTCCAGAACAGGTTGAACATTGCTCTCCTTCACATTCCCTCCGACACGATGAGCAACCAGTGTACTGATAAACTCATAATCCTGCCCAAATTAACAATTTCATCAAAGAAATTAAAGATATAAAGGGACTGTAAGTGTAATTTTAAGTAAACCTCCATACAAAGATGGCAAGGTCAGATTTACAACATTAAATAACTTAAAACCTTTATCTGATCAATAATGTGGAAAATATTGTCGTTTTTCTAAGTTTAAAAGTATTTATTTCTGATAATTCCACCCATATATTTACCTGCAGAAGAAATACGAAAGTCACTTTTCTAGAGAACAAACAATCAAGAATCAGTTTTCAAAATGTCTAATTCATATTTGACAAAGCTTTAAAGGGTACCATTGCCACTATAGTTTCAGTAGAAGTAAATATTTCCATTTACTGATAGCGCCGATTGAAGGATTCATAACTCTAATTGGATAATGAGATATATAGAAAGATAGATGTTACCGCCATACTATTTCTATTGGTTCAGAATAGACAACAAACACATGACTGAACCCTGATTGGATCAGGCGCTAATGAACTTGGCATACATCGAAGTGATAGCTGCTCGAGGCCATNAGGCCCTCTGAGGCTCTGCAGACTGCACTGGGGGGAGGGGAGCGCTGCGGCTAGAATGGGCCAGGGTACCGAGCACGACGGCTAGAATAGGCTGGGGGCCCAGCACTGCTGCTAGGACGGACTTGGGAAGTTGCCGCTTGGGAAATTGCACATTTGCACGGCTTTGGGAAAGTTCCTAACATCAAAAAATTAGACCCTGTACGAAAACTCCAGGGAAATTTTCAAAAAACTTTTTATCATCTTATTTAATTTTTGGGAGGAAAAAAAACTAATGAATAATATATTTTTAAAAAAAATACAAAAAAATTTCCCATGGAAGGGCAAGAAGGCTTTCATTATCAGACTAAATAAAACCAGTTCTACTGAAGTGTTATTTACAGTTAAACCCTAAATGAGCCATACATCGAAAGAATTTATCAAATGTCGTCTTAACAATTTTTCAAAAAGTTTTTTACTATTTTACGTAAATCTCAGTATTTGCGAAAATAAATAAATAGCCATGAATATATAAAGAGCTCTAAATAATCTTTTAATTAAAAAACTAAATATCTGCAACATTCCATTATCAGAAAGTGAAGAATACGACATTTGATGAATTATTTCGATGTATTCTTTATTTAGGGTTTATCTGTATAAAAACAGTAAATATTTCAAATTAAGATAAAAATAACTTACCGCTCCTTTAGGCTTCGGGGCATCATTCTTCTTAGCTTTTCCCTGCAAAAAAAAATTGTGAAATATTTATATTTAAATTTTTAGCTTTAATAAATCAAAAACCTTTAAAAAGATGATAAAATATTTATAATTAAATTTTCGTTTAGCATTTTAAAACCTAAAATCAAGAGAAAAAAAAAACTGAGATATTNAATAACTTCCAGTATATATATTTCTTATAACTTATTACTAGAGGGTTCAGAACTAGAGTCAATATCGATATCGCACATGTAGACTGTAGAGATGATATCAGTACTAATGCCCCATATCCGTTCTATCTCATTATGTTGAATCTTGTGGAACTAGTTTAACGCGGCCAGGCATCGTCTTCCACACTTTTCTGTTTTAATTTTATTATTCATAATTATAGTTTAAAGTTGTTTAATTCAATGGCGGTTTTAATCTAACAATCTATAGAGAGAAAAGGAGAAAAAAAAATGGCTAATGGGTCAAATTTACGGTTTCCAGCGAACATAAATTTTCGCGAAAACAGCAAAAAAAAAACGAAAATATGTGTTTACATTTCGCAAACTTTTGCGAAATTTTGCATAAGTCGCAAAAATGAATCAAGCGAAAAAATGCGAAAACGATGCAAAATTTCTTTCAAATAGTTTTTTCAAAATTTTGCGAAAAAAATACCACGAAAACCGCAAGTTGTGCAGCTGCAACGATTAATTGCGAAAAAAAATTTCTCTCCCGTATTTGTTTTCACAAAATATTTGCATTTTGTTTTCCCAATTTTTTGGCATTTGTTATTTCGCGAAAATTTCGCATTTTTTCCCAAATGAGTTTCCAAAACATAAACATGGATATCTAATTCATACTTGATCAGACAAAGCTTTTCAGGGTACAGTTGTGAAACGGAAAGAAACTCGATTACAATCCCTTTAATTCCCATATTTATTGGGACACCCTGTACCTGAGCTGCAACAGACTCAATTGCTTTCTTAACAGTCTCCTCGTCGCCCAGGAACTGCATCGAGTTCACAGGTTTCATGTTCTCATCAAGCTCATACACGAACGGGATACCTAAATTATTAATTTAAAAGTTTTTATCGGTCTTAAGTTGATAAGTAACTCAATACGTCAGCCACTCCCTCTAAGTACTGATATGTAAGTCTTAAGGGGGGGGGGAGCCTGTGCAGGACAAAACACTTCATGGTGAGTATTTTTATGCTAACGTTGGTTAACAAATCTTTATTATAAACTGCTTAAAGTTTACAGGTTTCATATTTGCATCCAGCTCATACACGAACGGTATACCTACATCAGAGTTAGACTCAAGTTTAAACTTTTCTTAGTGCAATGGAACACTGTCACGATTAAGTGTGATAATTTTACTTAATAAGTTGTTTTTTAAGCTATTGGTCAAAACAATTTGCTGTTTAACAGCATTAAATACTCAAAATAGAATATTGTCTGAATTATGTGTGAGAATTCTGATTATTCGAAACTTGCCAGTGTTTTCATAAGGAGGGAAGTTGCCATAAAAATAGGGCTATGCAGCATCACAGTAAATATTAGCCGATTTTTAGTACCTGTTGGAAGATTAGGTCCCATGATTTCATCATTAGAAGATTATCAGGGTATTCATCATCAGAGAGATTATCAATGTTTTTTCAATACCTGTTGGAAGATTAAGACCCACGATTTCATCATCAGAAAGATTATCAAGATGTTTGCTCAATACCTGTTGGGAGATTAAGACCAATGATGTCATCCTCAGAGAGATTATCAATGTTTTTTTGGTACCTGTTGGAAGATTAAGACCAATGATGTCACCCTCAGAGAGATTATCAAGGTGTTTTTCAATATCTGTTGGAAGACTAAGACCCATGATTTCATCATCAGAGAGATTATCATGATGTTTTTCAATACCTGTTGGAAGATTAAGACCGATGATTTCATCCTGAGAGAGGTTTTCAAGGTGTTTTTCAATACCTGTTGGAAGATTAAGACCCATGATTTCATCATCAGAAAGATTATCAAGATGTTTAACAACTCCTCGCAGAGAATTTCCGTGAGCGGCAATCAAGATCTTTTTGCCAGCCCTAGACACAGCAAAAATTAGGGAGAAAGGAAATTTTTAAATGTTAGCTCCTAATAGGGCTGATAAACTTTTGGTTAACGTTCGATTAAATGGCAAAATAATTAATTTTAAAATTTTTAACGAACAAAAATAACTTTCATAAAACGGATTGGAAAAAGTCTAAACCTGCCCAACCCTATAGCCTCCTAAAATATTACACTCCACCCATCTCCATTAAAAAAGTTTTATTACTTGATCTGAGGAACTATTACATTGTTCCAGTAAGGCAGAGTTCTGTCAATTGTCAGCTTCAGGGATTCATATTTGGGGAAATTTTCAGCACTTGGCTCGTTCTTGTATCTCTCATCCTGAATTAAGCAAATTTTGAGTAGTGTTGTTAATCATTCTGGAAAGTTTTAGAAATAAAATCAATAAAACTTTCAAGATTTCAAAACTGTTATATGTTTAACTTTGCTTTTAATAAACTTCGCAATATCTTTATCCAAAAAAATAAAAATTTGAAAAACAATCGTTTCAACATGTTTATTTTTGCACTGTTTTCAGCTCTTTTTTGGTCGTTTTTTGCATATATCTTCTGTCAGGGTCAAAATCTGACATACTTAAAGAAAAGCAAATGTTTAGGGTAAAAATTAAACATTTGCTTCTCTAACGTTATACCAAATTTTGACCAGCTGATAGAAAATATAGGTAAACAAACAATCTTAAAACAAACTAACTTATTATGTGCCTGTCTAGAATACAGTGTAGCTAATAGTTCTTAAGTCAATAAGTGCGTTCTAAAGCAGGAACTGTTAACCAGGAAGACTTGCATGGCATTTATAGAAGGGGTTGCAGAACATACCGCCTTATAGGGGTCACACTTCTTTATGTTTAATTTGATCACTTTAGGCAATTATGTAAAAGTAATAATATCTTTTTTTTTGCTTGTTTAGTATGCCCAGCTTTTATGTGCTTTCTTCTTATCTAACTCTTTTGTATTGAGTCACGGTGGAATAAGCCAGTGGGGTCGGTCAAATAAGCCTAGGATTAGGCCGGGTACTGTAAAAAGTCTGAACGCACCATGGGAGTTGTTAAAATCATTTTAACATTCAATGGGCACATTGCCTCTAAAATAACACAAATTTTCAAGGTAAATTCATGCCTTCATTTTTGGAGCTATTTTCTTGATATTTTGCATGAAGGTCAGATTAGGGATTAACTTATAGGAATGTATTTTCAAAATGTACACAATAAAAAACAATGACGTTTTTCCCGCATTTCACTAGTTATTTTGAAAAAAATATATTTTTTCCTGATTTTAAGTACAAATTGGGCCTATATTATGTCGGATAATATCTTCCTTGATTATTTTGATGAACTAGTTATTTTAGTTTATTTTTTCTACCTTTTCCCCCCCATTTTAAATTTTTTTCATTGATTTTTTTGATTAAATAACTTTTGCGCATTGAAAATTAATAAAGAAAGACAAATAAATTATTTTGCTGTAAAAATTACGCTAAATTACAAAAAATGTCCCACCATTACAGACAAAAGCAATAGAAAGGGGGTCAAATCTTTATTTTTCAAGATAATATTCTAAGTTGTGCATGAAAACTGGAATATTGATTTAGACCTGGAATAAGTTATTGAAAACCATCAAAATCTGAAACTTGCATATTTGGCGGATTTTTGTATTTTTTATTTCTTGTTTGCAGCTTTGTTACATGTGGAATGTCTAACTTATCACTGAATTATGGTAATTTAATTTTTGCTCTTGAAAAGGGACTGAATGAATACTTTCCGAATGCTGAAACAAAAATCAAAAGCATTTACTCCACTTGATTTAAGTTAAAAAGAAAATCATTCTTTACCTATTTCCTCAAGAACAGTTTTTAGAGTGATTTGTGCACGCTGCAGAACAGATGTATGTGCAGCATCAAAGGTGTAGCCAGCATCCTTCAATGCCTTGCCTCCAGCCTTGGCCTCATTCATGCCTTAACAATAACTTTGCCAATACTTTTCTTGCATGATATCTTTTCTATAAATTAAACCACCAATTGATGTAAATACCAGTTTTTTTGGATTCACTTTTTTCCCTTAAGGATGAATCCAGAGATACGTCTCAAATTTGAGACGCAGCTCAGTCATGGTTGGTTCCACTTAAAATTGTATTCAGTGTTTCGAGATTTGAGCCGGCGTTTGTTTGGAACCAGTTTTTGGCAGTTCAGTGACATGGTTTAAATTATTTAAATTTGGCCTCTAGTTTTCCTGGTCCTTGTATTATACCTCTTACTAGCCATGCAGACCAAGTTTTCCACATTTTACACGTTTTATCTTTATGAACAACAGTTTTACTGGTTCTATATGTTTTACTTTTAGGGCTTTGTCCAGCGTCAAACCAGCCCCAGGCCCAGCTTTCCACATTATACATGTTTTAAATTCAAAACCAAGTCTTGTGTCACTCCAGTGTCACTCCTGGTTTCCACATTCCACATGTTTTACCTTTAGGACAAAGGGCCGTGTCAATCAAGCCACAGACCCGGGTTTCCTTGTTCCATGCAGTTAAAGATATTTAAGGCGTCCTGCATCAAACCTTCCACAAAAACGGCTTTCAATCCTGGTGTCTTTTGCTATATCTTTAGGACTGATTGTGCAACAAAACCAGGTTTCCTAATCGTTGTGTTATACCTTTTGGGCTGAGTCCCAAATCGAACCAGTCACTGAACCTGTTTTGCTTCACATTTTTTACCTTCAGGACTAAGTCCTGTTTTAGTCCATGACCACAGAATTGGTTTTTCTGGTTCCATGTGTCTTACCTTTAGGGCTCAGTCCCGCATCAAACCAGCCACAGAACCGGTTTTCCTGGTTCCACGTGGACTCGCCGTGGCGGATCATTACCACCTAAACATAACATTTCTTTGGTTTTTTGAACAATTGTTCAGATCTAAAACTGTCACTTCTTTAATTCATTACAAAGTATATTTATTAAATAAAAGATTCATCAAATATTCTAAGATTACAAATTGATAATTTCATAATTTTTAATTTAAATCGTAATAAAAAAGTTTTTTTTTGTGAAATTCAAGAAAAAATAGTTTAATGATTACAATATTGAATAAAATATTGTATGACCGGAAATGCTGACAAATCATTTTAGGATTACTTTTTCTTATTTAACTACATTCTTAGATAACTATATAACTTCAACTTTTCTTTATATCCATCAGAGCTAAAAACTTTAGAATGAGATATCATTAATCCCAATTATTTAATCTGAGTATCCAATGGACACACTTTTGATTTTTGAAATTTCGAAGTTTCGAATTTCGTAAAGTTGAATAGATAAATTTAAAATGCATGTGTTGAGAATATCTATAAGCATTGATTTTCAATATCTAAATTCTAATGGATGATAAAAATTATAACAAAATAAATCTACCTTTAAAAATAAATCAAAACATTTAATCAAGACACATTTTCTTTTTTAAATTGTCAAATTTTCAAGTAGATCATGGTTCAAAAAGTACAATAGTCGAAAATTCAAAGGCAATTTTTAAGTTAATCTCTGCATGATGTTTTTTGTTATAAAATTCAAAATATATAGAGTTAAACCCTAAATATAGAATACATTGGAAGAATTTATCAAATGTCGTCTTTTTTAAATGGGTTTTGCCGCTGGGAATGTTATAACTAAAAGCATAGTATCCCTGAATCTCAGTAATTGTACTGAATGTACTGAAGCTGTCGTATATTTTCTCAAACTGTCATTCTGCTCGAAGCTTGACAAAGGGATATATGTACTATAACAATATAAAAATTTCTTTGTTGAAAGTGATGTTTTTTTCCAGAATACGATTATTTTTTAAATAATCACATAGACATGTTGGGACATCTTTTAAGATATTTAATCAAAAAACTAAATATTTGCGACATTCCATTATCAGGAGATTCAGAAAATGACATTTGATAAATTCTTCTGATGTATTCCATATTTAGGGTTCAACTGTATAAAAATTCTTAAATTCTTATTATTCAATAAATTCTAACCTTGTAAGTTTTCCCCATACTGCGTGCGGAGTTAAACTAATAAATTCAAACTTAAAATTTATCATTAATTTTATTATTAAATTCAAAATGAAGGGGACTGTTCTCATTTTAAAACTTATGGTTCATCTTATTTATCCATTTAAATTTTCGCTAACACTCCCTTAACGGGACGGGACGGGATACTAATTTTTTAAGATTGGAATGTCCGATTCACACCCATTAAGTCTTAGAATCATCCAGGAACACAGAGACATACCTTTTGGCTAAAAATTTAGTGCTTTTGGAAACCATGAGACGTCATTTGAAACTTTGAAAAGAGATGAAGGAAGGGTTAAGACATTTTTTAAAAGAAATTGAAAAAATAAACTCAACTACTTATATCACACACTTAATTTGATAAAAATGTTGAACTTTTTTCAAGCAGAAGAACAGTCTAATAATGGGATGAAAAGTCACAAACATGATTAATAAAATCTTGAACTTTATGTCTGAGAAAGATAAAAGTTTGAATCCTGTCTCGAGAGAGGATAGAGACTGAATGTGAAATAGAGGTTATATGTAGTGAAATAGAGGTTACATGTCTAGCTTTCTTTACAGNGGGGAGTGTGTCCCTGATGTTAAATAATCTTAAAAGTTTGATTTCCATAATTAAGAAAATGGAAAGTTACATGCATGTTTTCCCAAAGGGTGATGACGTGGTGTAAAAAAATAGGGAATTCTAACATTTTATATGACGGGCCTAAAATATCTTAAATTTGAGATTTTTGATACAAAATTTCATTTTTCAGTTTTGACAGTAGTTTACAGTGTGTCCCACATCACATTAGATCGCTTATAACTTTTAATTGAGATTTTATCGTAAGAATTCATTTTTGAAAATGAATCGTTTAATGAAAATGTTATACATATTAAAATTTTCTTGCAGAACACACAAATGGTGTTTTTTAGTGTTATGTGGCGTATTTTGGCTTTAAACCTTGGAGATAATCCAATATATATTCAGATTTGGTAAAGAAACTATAGCAGACATAATAATATTATGGCTTTTGAAATTAGGTATTACAATGCTAATTCATAACAAGGACGATATCGAATTCGTCACTGAATTCCCATGTTTTTTGGGACACCCTGTATATTCAGATTTGGTAAAGAAAGGACGTGAAAATCTGCGGGGAAATGTTAGAAATGAAATAAACAAATATCCGCACAGTCGTCTCTGAAGTCTCATTATTTGTGGGTAACACTGTATATAGGTATGTGGGGGCCTGACAGCGCTGTTTTAAATAAACCGGAATAGCTTATTAATTGTTTAATCTAAAGTCGTCTTCGATCTTAGAAATAGTTTTCAACATTCAGTTAGCAACCCAGTTTTGGCAATATTTTAAATGAATAACAAACTAGTTCTAGTCTTGTGCTTTCACAAATCCGGAGATACGAATGATTTGTTCAGAATTAGATAATTAATTTCTTGTTTGTTCGAAATCGAAACAAAATTCTTTAAACCTTAGGCAGACCACATTTTGGAAATGGTAAAATACTACGGCTATTTCACTGTAAATGTGCACGCTCTCACGCAAAAATCAGGCACTTTTTTGTCAACTTTTGTGTACAAAAATGAATAAATAAAAGAAATTAAAAAAGTTAAACGTATAATTGAATAAATAAAATTCCCATATACCTCTCCGGACACTTTTACATATAAAGATTACAGCTCATGTTTTTATACATAGTAATTGACCAATTATAATGATCATTCTTTGCTCATTATATGCCTTTAATTCATTCTCAATAGACTGAGATAATTCAGTCACATCAAGCTGTGCAATAGGAAGATGAAATTTAAGCAATCTTGTAAATTTCTTTAAAAAAAGAAAATACTTTCACCAGTAGCTTGACGATTATTTGGCCGCTAGGTGTCTCTACTCTCGATTCTTCAGAGGTTCAAGTGGAAGAGACACCTATAGACTACCGTTTAAAGTACATAATATATAAAACAAATAAAAAATATCATGAAATTTCAACTTTATATGATGGCATCGAATTAAATTCGATATTAATAGGTTGCAATATCTGAATGGTTAGTTTTAAATTAAATTGAATCATTTATGATCCGAGTGAAATATTGCAACTCCGTGAATTTGTATGGACGCTACGCTCTACGGTATGAGTCGTGTTAAACAATTGTCTCCTAGCTTACAGACGCAACAGATAAAATTTAGATTAGTAGCGATCACCATCGAATTAGATTAGACGTTATCCTTTACCCCCTCTAGTTTTTTGCGAACACTCCCATTAATACAACTGCTTGGCAACTAGCTGACAAAAGGAATCAGACCGGTGACATGGCTCAAATTTGGTCGTGTGTCCGACGTAAGGTTTAAACTATGTCAGGCTGAAAAGCCTTCACCTATAAGGGATTGTGATGGCATACCTCTTGTAGGTCAAGGAGCTGTTGGACACTTCCCTAGCTGTATGATATGATAAGTCTAACTGTCTTTTTACATATTTCACGGTTTTTGGGTTTCACAATAAGTTTGGATATCACTATATTTTAATAAATAATCTCTTTAAAAAAGCAATTCCATGTTTTAAAAATTAGATTTTTATAGTTGTAAATGATTGATAAGGTCCTCAAATTTGAAAAGTGAAGTCAAAATCTTCGAAGATCACATAACTTTAACCCTATCCCTATTGGGTTATTTTTGCATAATTAACATAGCAGACGAAACTCTTACAGATTACAGCTTTCTCAGTAGGTACCACTATACTAAATCTAAGAATTATTTGAAAAGACGATATCGAATTCGTCACTGAATTCCCATGTTTTTGGGACACCCTGTATTACAAACTGTAATTTCTGTTGGATCAAATAATGTAAGTTTGAAATATCTAAGGTTTACACCACCAGGTTGCAAAGATAAAGGAATTTTGAAATTCCAGTTTTTGTCAAAAACTGTTCCTTTGTTTAAAACTATGATGTTGAAAAAGTGAAGAAGTTTGAGCGTTCTAATGTAACCCGTTTTAAGGGAAAAAGCCACGGGGGGGGGGGGGGGGTAGAAAACCCCCTGTGACTTTCTTAATTTTAATTGTATTTACTCTATATAATGACTTGAGCATATCGGCTTCAGAAACAAAAACAGAAAATTGTCAGAATTAAAAACTTTTTGACGAAGTCTTCACACTTTTGATGAGTCAAAGAGTTTTTCGTCTTTTAAATTAAGAAAAAATTTACATTAAAAAAGTTTACAAATCGAAAGATTTATAAAACAAACATTAATAATTTTAGTAAAACCAACCTTTTGTAATAAGTTGTTATATCTACTAGTTTAAAATTGGAAATATATTTCAAAAATTAAGTTAAATACAATGATTTTAGAAACAAGATATATTTACATTGATACAATTAGTGTCTAGTACTAGTACATGATAATATTTATGGGTAAGAATATGATAGTACCATGACAGGAGGTTTTAGGACAAAATAGTAGGGAGGTTGGTTTACACTACCCCCTGTACTCCAGGTACTACTGGTAGTAGGGAGGTTTATATAAAGATAGATAGATATATAGATAGATAGATGGATGACTGATAGAAATATAGATGAATAAATGAATTGTTAATTAGATTAATAAGTAAGATGTATAGATTAACATTGAACAGATTGTGGATTAATGGATACTAGATAGAAAGATGGATATATGAAGAGGACTGGCTAGATTGTTTAATGAAGAATATTTCAGAATCTTAAGCTGTTAAATAAGGATTAAAATTACCTAGTGACACAAGTCTCAGTAGTCTAGGGTCTGTTGTGTCAAAACCTAGGGGTTCATAATTATTATTATTATTATCTTACAAAACTTTTTGAATTCATTAATTCACAGCTTTTGGGAATTTCAAATTTCTTCAGTGCAAGTACAATTTTGAATTATAATTTTAGTCATCATCATTTGTAATGTAAGTGATCATGTTCAAGGTCAAAGTCAAGGTGGAAATTAAAGGTCAAGATTAAAAATCAAAATTATAGGTCAATATGAATGTCAAGGTCAAGTTCAAGGTTAAAGTTTAAGGTCAAGTTTGAAGACCAAAGTCAATTTTTAAGTTCAAGGTCAAGTTTAAAGTTCAAGGTTAAAGTTCAAGGTCAAGGTTAAAGTTCAAGGTCAAGTTTAAAGTTCAAGGTCAAGGTTAAAGTTCAAGGTTCGAAGTCAAGGTCAAAGTTCAAAGGCAAGGTTCACAGTCAAGGTCAAAGTTCAAGGTCAAAGTTCAAGGTCAAAGTTCAAGGTCAAAGTTGAATGTCAAGGTAAACTTGTTTAATGTCATTGGTTAAGGATAAATGTTTGAAGTTTAAGGTCAAGGTTATATAGTGTTCGAACCTGCTGAAGCCAGGTAGTGTGAGGTAACAGCGTCAGGTATAGTTGGAGTATAGTCTTCTAATTGTCCCATCAGATCTTGAATTAGAAATTAGATAAATCTTCTAATTGTCCCATTAGATCTTGAATTAGAAATTAGATACATTTTCTAATTGTCCCATTAGATCTTGAATTAGAAATTAGATACATTTTCTAATTGTCCCATTAGATCTAAATTAGAAATTAGATACATTTTCTAAGCGTCCCATTAGATCTTATATTAGAAATTAGATACATTTTCTAATTGTCCCATTAGATCTTGAATTAGAAATTAGATAAATCTTCTAATTGTCTCATCAGATCTTGAATTAGAACTAGTAATTGCATTCAAAATCAAATCAACCATCATTCCTGGGGAATCCACCTTGAGCTCCCTTCCAGAACTTTCTTTGACAAACCAAGATGTTCCAATGAACATCCCATTTTACCATTTATGTTATAAAATCCTAGCACTGAGATGAATTTAGTTTAGAAAGAAAGAAACCCAAGTAAAACCAAGCTTAACTCAAAATATGATATCATATCATATAAAATCACAAGTTTTTATTTTAAAAATATCAGAATCCATTGTGAAAATCATTGCTGTTTTGTGATTTGAGGATTAATTCGGTAGAACCAAGTGAGTTCAAAACCGGTTTTCAGCACGATATAAATAAAAATTAGATATAGTATCTTGGAAATGAATTGATCTAAACCTGAGAGGGGTGGCGAGGTTTGCTGGGGTGGCTGAAATCCAGGCTAAAAATACAAAAAATGTCTATCTAATAATCTAATAAGATCCATAAAACTGTGGAATAGGAAGACGATCCATTTCACAAACAAGTTGATTTCAAAGCATTCAAAGCGTTAAAAACTATTTGCTTCAAAACACCAAAACAGATAAGATTGTCTCAGAGGACTGTTAGTGTAACGGTGCCCTAAAAGCTTTGTCTGATCAAGTATAAATTAGAAATCTTTGTTTATTATTTTAAAAACTGATTGTTTTCAATTACGACTTGCGCATTTCTTCTGCAGGAAAACATGTGGGAATCGGAATGATCTTAATAAAACACTTTTAACCTAGAATGTCGACAATATCTTCCATACTATTTATCATTTAAAGGTTTCAAGGGTTCCGTTGCGAATTGGGCATTGCCATCTTTGCATGAAGAGTCACTGGAAGTTACGCTTACAAACTCTTAAAATAATCTCCTATCCTATCCTATCCTATCCTATCCTATCCTATCCTATCCTATCCTATCCTGATTATACCTGATTATGAGGACCTCCATTCCCAACCACTTCATGCTGACCGTTCATCTTAAACCCAGTCAATCATTTAATTAAGAAAATGATGCTAATAATGATAATGATAACAATAACCATTATTATAATAATAGTAATAGTAATAATGATAAATAAAAGTAGCAATATCAATAACAATAAAATATCATTAAAAATTAAAAATGCTTGTCTAAAAAATTAATTGATTGCTTAAAACTGGTTCCTGTTGCAGTCCTTGTCCCTGCCCTGCCATATTATTTAAACCTAATCTGAAACATAAGATTTATTAGTGTGCACTTTTTATTATTATTATTAACGTTAAATCTACAGTCAAAGTATCATGTCCTACAGGCTATGATTCGTTGAGCTCCAGGTTAATTTGCACTTTTTATATAACAAATACAACGCAGGTGGTCTTGCTCTCAAAAAACTTCATTTCAAATATGATGATAAATTATTTATGCTCTTCTATTGCTGATATGGAGAAGTCCCAGAGCTCTGAGCCCAAACGATCATTCTAAAGAAATAAAAGATGTTCAGAACATTAAAATTTATATCTTAACTTGCACATCTTATGTTGGTGATTATTATTACCTCTTCCAGATATCTTTGTATTGCAGGAACAGATTTTCTATTTCTAAACAAAGAATTCGTGAATCGATTAAATTCATCTATATACATATTTATACTTGTATGATTGTTTCAATACCGTAAACGTCAAAAATGCTGAACCGAGTCAGATCCGAGTCAAAATTCAGTTTTAGAATGAAATCCACCAGTAAAAAAAACAGAAAATACGCAAAATTTGTTTAATATTTTTTTTAAGATGTGCTAAAAGTATGGCTTGCAAAAAGAATGTTACTAAAAAGGGACAAAAAGCGCCATTTAAGTCTCGTCATTAAAAATTATTATTATTGAATTTTCTTTACTTGATAAAAACTGGACTTGCAAGTGTACTTTTAAGAATGCAGTACACGACACTGTCTGCTCCCTCCTCGGCGGACTGGCTGAACAGTGCTATGTTTACAAACAATGTTTAATCCAGTTGTTTTATCGTGGCGTACATTTGACTTATGGCAGAAACAATCTGAAGAACTGAGGAGGGTCACCCAGTCCGAAATATATTTTCAATGAAATGTGGAACTAACATCTACTTAATTAACTCTTTGAGATTTGGTCCATCATCAAATCAACATCACTTAAACATAATATTGCTTAAACATCGTTTTCATATTCTATTTTTATGAGTCCCACTGTAGTAAATATCAAAGTTATAAATGTTTTCAATTTTATGTCTCAATAACTGCAAACATGAGTCAAAATAAGGCTTCGAATAAAAATATGTAAGAATCAAAACCTCCCCCAGAACTTTTTATGAAGAAAACCCAAATTTTAGACTTCTAAATGCAAAAAAAAACTATAAAATAAACATTGTCCCTAATGGAATGATAATAAATGGAAGAATGACCCAAGGAGTTCCATGTTCTCTTCCTAATCCAGTTCTACACCAGCCTGGGCTAAGACACAATTCAATTTCTAAAAAATAAATTGTCCGGCGGGGGGGGGATGTTGTGAAATGCGGGTGTACCTTGAGATTTTTTCAGGGGAAGAGAAATTGATCAAAAATATATTTTATAAAGTTCTGTGTAATTTAATGGATTATTATAATAGAACATATTTAAATAATATTTAAACTCCTAGCTCTACAAGTTGTCTAGTGGTTAGAAATGAAACTACTAATTGCGTAGATTAACATTTAAATCAGGGTGATAATTATGATATAATCATTTACAATTAAAAGTTCCAAAAGATTTGGTAATTACAGTTGTCTTGAGGGGCAATCTCCTTGGGTTTAAGCAGATTTTTACACCAAGCTTACACTTTTTTCTTCTTTAAGAGGAGGTTTTGGAATTGAATTCTGCCTAACGGTGATAATTTTAATATTGTTGAGATATTTCTGAAGCTGATATCCCCATAAAGCCATCATTAGTTTACTATCACAATACTCCTATACAAAGTAATCTCTACTTGATGGGACGATGTGGTCAGAATTAAAAAAAATTATCTATATTAAAATTGGCGTGTTAAATTACAATGTTAAAAAAAAAATGTTTTTTTTTTGCGTATTTTACATGGGCCAAAGGAAGAATTTTTATGGCTTGTGATTTATCTGATTGGACCTCTAGTCGTTAGGCTACAACATATAGGGATTATGATGAAGGAATTATTTTTTTTTCACCTGAGTTACGCCTCTACTGCTTCTACTAGGTTCTCCATTTTTTAAAGTTTCAAAATTAATCCGACCCTTGGTAAGGTGGGACGAAGAAACTAATATTATTCTGGGGTCCTAAAAACATTTGTATTGAATATTTAATTGAAATAAACAAACAATCATTACTTTTAAGGTCAGATGTTAACTAAAATTTTCAGTTTTATTTACCTGAGAATCCTGCAAGGTTGGACTCAGCAGCTGAATAAGCTGGAAATGCGCGAGATAGTTTACTCCAAAGTGTACTTCCCAGCCGTCAGCTGTTTTCCCGCCATTTTTCTGCATTGTTCCCGCATTACATACGATACAATCCAATCGAGGAAACCGTTGTTTTACTTCAGAACAAAATTTCTTTACTTAAAAAACAGCTGTTAAGTTGAAAAAAAATGATGTCTTAAAAAGTGTTTACCTGCGGATAGTGAGTTTAAATCTAGTTTTAAAATGTGTATTTTTGTCGGAATTGGGAATTCACTGAGAAAACGTCTTTGCTCTTCCCCGTTTTCCAGCACACCAGAGTTTCTTGTAGTAAGAATAAGCTCAGCTCTTCCCCTTTACACAAGGATATTAATGTTATCAAACATTTAGTGTGATCAAATCAAATCAAATGACGTGACATGACATATTTTATGGACGTCCTGTTCAATTAGATCAATTTTTCAAAATCTAATTTTTAGTTACCTGGCTAATTTTTTTGCGGTTTCAAGTCCAATTCCCTTAAAAATGGTTATTAAAGTGATTTAATGACTTATTATTTTGTTATTATAATTACAATTAGAACAAGGAGCATCCTTAAAATTGTTTTAATACAGCTCTATATTAGAACAAATATAAATAATTCCACAATTCTTAAGAAATAATTGAACCTTGAAGAAAAAAAAATACTCTTGATTATTTATAAAAAACATAATTGCATTTATAACATTTGTTTTCCAACTGTATAGTGAGTAAAAAACCGGACCTTGGTGCCCCCTGTTATCAAAATTACTCTCCCGGGAGGTACAGGATAGTCCCCAAGTACCACCATTCTAAAATTTATCTGAAAAACATTTAATTTTTTTATAATATTCATAAATTAAGGCACTTGTTTGGAAAGTATTCTTTGGCATTTTAGTTTTGATTCATTTTTTTACAGATCATTCATTTAAGGATACAGGATTCAGGGATTCAGAATAACAAGGCTCAGGATTCAGGGATTCTGTGTTCAGTGTTTGTTTTGTTTAGGTATTCAGGTGTGGAAGTTTGGTGGTCAAGAGATTCATGGTTTTGTATTGAGAGCTTAAGGTTCAGAGTTTAGAGCTTATGGTTCATGGTTCAGGACTCCTGAGTTCAGAATAGAAGGAACGCATTGCTCTGAGTTCAGAGTAGAAGGAACACATTGATCTGCGTTCAGGGTAGAAGGAACGTATTTCTCTGAAATCAGGAAGAAGGAACATATTGCTTAGAGTTCAGGGTAGAAGGAACATATTACTCTGAGTTCAGGGTAGAAGAAACGTATTGCTAAGAGTTCAGGGTAGAAGGAACATATTACTCTGAGTTCAGGGTAGAAGAAACGTATTGCTAAGAGTTCAGGGTAGAAGGAACATATTACTCTGAGTTCAGGGTAGAAGGAACATATTGATCTGAGTTCATGGTAGAAGGAACATATTACTATGAGTTCAGAGTAGAAGGAACATATTGCTCTGAGTTCAGGGTAGAAGGAACATATTACTCTGAGTTCAGGGTAGAAGGATCATATTACTCTGAGTTCAGGGTAGAAGAAACGTATTGCTTAGAGTTCAGGGTAGAAGGAACATATTATTCTGGAGTTCAGGGTAGAAGGAACGTATTGCTCCAAGGTATTTGATCTGATGTAGATTCAACCAGAATTCTCACCCCTTCAACAGGTCTGAACAAACAAATATATAAAAATTTATTTTATTTTCTATTTTTTTTACATAAACAAAAATATGCTGTTCAAGAAAGAAAGACAGTTAGTCAATCTTTTAATTAAATACATGGATAAAATACTTTTTGTTCAGTAATACAAACACCTTCCGTGATGGATTAAGTAAAAGAGATCTATTGAATTAATTTGTTTTACCTTTCTTTTTTTCCTTTCTTGGGACTTTCGGAGTTCTTGTGTGTCTTCATGTGCAGTCGTAAATATGAGTCACGGACAAATGTTTTTCCACATAAATCACAAGTGTAACCTAGAACATTAAATGAAATCGCAAACTGGAAATAATATAATATTTTCTAAATGAAGATGCACATTATAGATCGTAGATAGTTTAACTATTCAAGTTGAATTTCATTAAGTCGTTTTCAAATGTTAATAATTGTAACAGATTGATAAATTGAAATAATGATCATAAACATGAACATTGAAGGCCCATTCAGATGTAGCACTTATGCCCAATAGTCAATACCTGGTTAGAGGGGCTTTAGGCGTAATTTCAAGTGATCTTCCTTTTGTAGGGTAGCGTGTTCGATTCACAACAGTACCCTTTAAACCTTGAACTAATTAAGGTTGTCAGATTTACCTAATAAATCTAAAGAAAATCTTTTAATTGTTGAACACTTTGTTTAACACCGGGTTTTAGAGGAATTCAAGCGGTGTTTGATAGATTTACACGCAGAGATCACTGTAGTCAATGAACAACCAAAAGTTTAAAGGGTACCCGTGTAAATCGGACAATGTCCTCTTTGCATGGAGGGTCACTTGAAATTGCACTTACAGTCCCTTATTTAATGATTGCAAAATAAATAACGCGCTAAAAATAAGAAGATATCTTATAAATGGTCTTTCAAAAGAATCACCTTTCAGACCAACATGCTGCTCCTCGTGATTTTTTAGTTCTCCTCTTTGTGGAAACCGTTTACCACAAATACCACATTCATATTTACCCTCACCTAAATAGATAAATGTTTACCAAAAATACCACATACATATTTACCCTATACTAAATATATAAATGTTTACCAAAGAAACCTCATTCCAATTTACCCTATACTAAATAGATAAATGTTTTCCACATATACCTACCACATACATATTTACCCTGTCCTAAATAGATAAATGTTTACCACAAATACAACATTCATATTTACACTGTACTAAATCAATAGATAAAATAATATTTACAACGTATACCACATTCAATACCATGTCCTAAACTCAAACAATAAATTAATTGTTACCACAAAAACCACATTAATATTAACCCTGTCCTAAATCAATAGATAAATGTTTACCACAAATTCTCAATCAATAAATCAATATTTACCTAAAAATACCACATTTAAATTTACTCTGTTCTAAACTTAATCAAAAAAAATAAATGTCCTATTGATAGATACTGCAGTAATTTTATAATTTTATTCGTTTCTTAAATTGCTTTATTATTAGATATTATTAAAATCTTTTTGATCACTGAATGGTGAATCATAAAAAAATAGAAGGAGTTATCATTAAGCTATTTTTGGACAAAGAAGCCAGCAGAACTTTAAAAAAAAACATTTATCGACTGGATCCGGATTAACTTTTGTGAAATGACAGATCCAAGGCCCGGATCCGGATTAACTTGTGTGAAATGACGGATCCAAGGCCCGGATCCTATTGATAATATTATCCAACTAATGGTAGTAAAGTATTAATGTCACGTGTCTCCGTCTGTATCACGTGATCAGTATACTGCACTACCATTGGAGGGAGTTCTGGTCACGTGATACGGACATATATTTTACATATATACGTTTTGGTATAATTTTGACACAGTTTTAAGTCAATTTCTCAAGACTCAAATCTTTCCCACATTTTCCCAAAAATAAAATATTTAAATTATATTAAAGTGGTCAACGTTTATATCAATACAATGAAGGCAAAATTTCTATATAAGTCTTTATCAAATTACAAGTTTACAGTGCACTTTTGCTCAGATCCGTTCAAAACCAAAAAATGCATTTAATATACATAATTTTAAGCTTGCATGCAAAAATCAGCCTCCTACAACATGTAAAATCTGTGGTAAGATGACCCAAAATGAAACTGCCGGCTACTAGCGCGCCAGTCAGAATGCTCTGATATTTATTTTGACCCCAGAAATGAATTTCTCGTGCACAATTACCTATAAATCGACATACAACATGTAAAATCTGTGCTAAGATGACCCATAATGTAACTGCCGGAGAAGCTGAAAAGCATGTCCAATGTCCATGCTGTTTAAAAGCTTCGTAGAAATAGAGAATTGAAATCGAAATTACTACATTGTATTGATATTTACGACGACTACTATACCTGAGATGAGTGTTCCTATGAGCCTGGTAGAATGTTTTGTTCCTAAATATATCAAGATTAAAGGGACTCTTCACGATATTTGAATTAAAGGGACTCTTCACATTATTTGAATTAAAGGGACTCTTTACAATAATTGAATTAAAGGGACTCTTCACGATATTTGAATTAAAGGGACTCTTCACGATATTTGAATTAAAGGGACTCTTCACATTATTTGAATTAAAGGGACTCTTTACAATATTTGAATTAAAGGGACTCTTTACGGTATTTGAATTAAAGGGACTCTTCACGATATTTGAATTAAAGAGACTCTTCACGATATTTGAATTAAAGGGAATCTTCACGATATTTGAATTAAAGGGAATCTTCACGATATTTGAATTAAAGGGACTCTT